ATGTACAGGGAATATGTCATCTACAGAGGACGCTTTTTCATGTACAGGGGATATGTCATCTACAGAGGACGCTTGTTCATGTACAGGGGATATGTCATCTACAGAAGATGCTTTTTCATGTACAGGGGATATGTCATCTACAGAAGACGCTTGTTCATGTACAGGGAATATGTCATCTACAGAAGACGCTTGTTCACTAACAGGGGATATGTCATCTACAGAAGACGCTTGTTCACTAACAGGGGATATGTCATCTACAGAAGACGCTTGTTCATGTACAGGGAATATGTCATCTACAGAAGACGCTTGTTCATGTACAGGGGATATGTCATCTACAGAGGACGCTTTTTCATGTACAGGGGATATGCCATCTACAGAGGACGCTTGTTCATGTACAGGGGATATGTCATCTACAGAAGACGCTTGTTCACTAACAGGGGATATGCCATCTACAGAAGACGCTTGTTCATGTACGGAAGACGCTTGTTCACTTACAGGGGATATGCCATCTACAGAGGACGCTTGTTCATGTACAGGGGATATGCCATCTACAGAGGACGCTTGTTCACTAACAGGGGATATGCCATCTACAGAGGACGCTTTTTCATGTACAGGGAATATGTCATCTACAGAAGACGCTTGTTCATGTACGGAAGACGCTTGTTCACTTACAGGGGATATGCCATCTACAGAGGACGCTTGTTCATGTACAGGGGATATGTCATCTACAGAAGACGCTTGTTCATGTACAGGGGATATGTCATCTACAGAGGACGCTTGTTCACTAACAGGGGATATGCCATCTACAGAAGACGCTTGTTCATGTACAGGGGATATGTCATCTACAGAAGACGCTTGTTCATGTACAGGGGATATGTCATTTACAGAAGACGCTTGTTCATGTACAGGGGATATGTCATCTACAGAAGACGCTTGTTCATGTACGGAAGACGCTTGTTCATGTACAGGGGATATGTCATCTACAGAAGACGCTTGTTCATGTACAGGGGATATGTCATTTACAGAAGACGCTTGTTCATGTACAGGGGATATGTCATCTACAGAAGACGCTTGTTCATGTACAGGGGATATGTCATTTACAGAAGACGCTTGTTCATGTACAGGGGATATGTCATCTACAGAAGACGCTTGTTCATGTACGGAAGACGCTTGTTCATGTACAGGGGATATGTCATTTACAGAAGACGCTTGTTCATGTACAGGGGATATGTCATCTACAGAAGACGCTTGTTCATGTACAGGGGATATGTCATTTACAGAAGACGCTTGTTCATGTACAGGGGATATGTCATCTACAGAAGACGCTTGTTCATGTACGGAAGACGCTTGTTCATGTACAGGGGATATGTCATTTACAGAAGACGCTTGTTCATGTACAGGGGATATGTCATTTACAGAAGACGCTTGTTCATGTACAGGGGATATGTCATTTACAGAAGACGCTTGTTCATGTACAGGGGATATGTCATCTACAGAAGACGCTTGTTCATGTACGGAAGACGCTTGTTCATGTACAGGGGATATGTCATTTACAGAAGACGCTTGTTCATGTACAGGGGATATGTCATCTACAGAAGACGCTTGTTCATGTACAGGGGATATGTCATTTACAGAAGACGCTTGTTCATGTACAGGGGATATGTCATCTACAGAAGACGCTTGTTCATGTACAGGGGATATGTCATTTACAGAAGACGCTTGTTCATGTACAGGGGATATGTCATCTACAGAAGACGCTTGTTCATGTACAGGGAATATGCCATCTACAGAAGACGCTTGTTCATGTACAGGGGATATGTCATCTACAGAAGACGCTTGTTCATTTACAGGGGATATGTCATTTACAGAAGACGCTTGTTCATGTACAGGGGATATGTCATCTACAGAAGACGCTTGTTCATGTACGGAAGACGCTTGTTCATGTACAGGGGATATGTCATTTACAGAAGACGCTTGTTCATGTACAGGGGATATGTCATTTACAGAAGACGCTTGTTCATGTACAGGGGATATGTCATCTACAGAAGACGCTTGTTCATGTACAGGGGATATGTCATCTACAGAAGACGCTTGTTCATGTACAGGGGATATGTCATTTACAGAAGACGCTTGTTCATGTACAGGGGATATGTCATCTACAGAAGACGCTTGTTCATGTACAGGGGATATGTCATCTACAGAAGACGCTTGTTCATGTACAGGGGATATGTCATCTACAGAAGACGCTTGTTCATGTACAGGGGATATGTCATTTACAGAAGACGCTTGTTCATGTACAGGGGATATGTCATCTACAGAAGACGCTTGTTCATGTACAGGGGATATGTCATTTACAGAAGACGCTTGTTCATGTACAGGGGATATGTCATCTACAGAAGACGCTTGTTCATGTACAGGGGATATGTCATTTACAGAAGACGCTTGTTCATGTACAGGGGATATGTCATCTACAGAAGACGCTTTTTCATGTACAGGGGATATGTCATTTACAGAAGACGCTTGTTCATGTACAGGGGATATGTCATCTACAGAAGACGCTTGTTCATGTACAGGGGATATGTCATCTACAGAAGACGCTTGTTCATGTACAGGGGATATGTCATCTACAGAAGACGCTTGTTCATGTACAGGGGATATGTCATCTACAGAAGACGCTTGTTCATGTACAGGGGATATGTCATCTACAGAAGACGCTTGTTCATGTACAGGGGATATGTCATCTACAGAAGACGCTTGTTCATGTACAGGGGATATGTCATCTACAGAAGACGCTTGTTCATGTACGGAAGACGCTTGTTCATGTATAGGGGATATGCCATCTACAGAGGACGCTTGTTCATGTACGGAAGAATCTTGTTCATGCACAGGGCTTATGTCATCTCCAGAATACAACTGTTCCTATACAGGTATATGTTACGTAGCAATCCTCACCGACATAAGAACCTGGCTATCTTATATATTCTTCTGATTGGAGAATATGTCCTGTCTTTAAATTTGTGGAAGTCTACAGATTTGTATCAAATTCTCATGTCTTTCTTCTGCGCCGTTTTATCCTGACCACATGACCTTGTAATGTTTTATGATTGCGCCTAACTTTGTATGAGGAAAACTCGCTAAATACAATGTTTATTCCTAATACAGGATATTTACATTCCCAAAACACACACACGTGATAACCTTTCCTGAAATAATGTTATTCACCATCATCAAAATAATGTCATCTCTCAAAAACGGTATCTAAACATTGTAAGTTTTCCTGGAATGTGCGCATTAATATATGACGTCACAGTGTCGGTGATTACTCATTCGGTCAGTGACTTCAATCAACCACCTGTCACAAAGTTCCACCTGAAACCTGATTTTAGACAGTGGTGTGTAATTGACCATATTATAAGGATAACGCTATTTTTCAGGGCATTATCATTTGCAGAAGCCCGAGGTTTTCCATTAACTGCCCGACGAAGGAGGGCAGTTGAAAAGACCGAGGGCTTCTGCATATGATAATGCCCTGAAAAATAGCGTTATCGTTATTATAGCTAAAATGGATGGAATTTGTTATCAAATACAAAGAAACAACAACATCGGTTTTTAAAAATTTTGCAATCAACACGAATGTCACTGACCCCATTTTACAAACATGGTAACGTCATAGAACAAACCAGATGACGTCACTATAATACGTGACGTCACTTTCTCTACCTTATGACGTCACCTCGAAACGGGCTTGATAATGGCCCTTCGTCAAGCAATATGAGGGCATTATCAAGTTACAGTGGCCCGCTCATTTCTGATAACGTGCGGGCGGTTTAATGATAATTCTATCCATTTTAGCTATAAAGGAAAATAGACAATTGCCAATAGATAATATAGTAAGTTTGTCTTTGATCACCTATCGCGACTATCAGTATCCTTCCCTAACAAGAGTTATCGCCCTTTATCAAAGGGATATAACGTTTGGTTCTGAAATGTCACGTTTGCCTTACCTCATTGGCCAAATTCCATATTTAAACAGCCAACAAACTCAAGTACGGGAATTGATCTCAAAGATTATCTACACTTATGAAAGGCTACAGCTTCGCACCTTTTGAACAGCAATTTTTGTTACAGACCATTATTTGATGATTATAACAATTATTCTAGTAAAATAGTTTTTGTCCAGGCACCCGATCGTCGACAGACATAGCCTCCGCCATACTTGTTTGTAAACACTGAAAGCAGTAACCAACCTACCTGACCTTCTGTATTTGCATATTTATCCGTACATGACCCCAATGGATATCGTTTTTAACTTAACCGTTGTCTTTGTCTAACCCTTATATGTTAATTAATATCATTAGCAGATTTGGTCATTTGGTCGAGTTTTTAGTATTCGGAAATTGATAAGCACGTGGCCTTCGAACAGGTTTATTGTAGTAGGTTTATTCAGTTCCCCGAATCGACATGTCTTTCAAGAGAGCTATTTAAAAACTCAATTTGAAAAATATACAACGAAATTTGTTATTTTTCCGCAAACCTATACAATAGTGAGTGAGTGAATTGGGTTTAACGCCGCTTTTAACAGTATGCCAGTTATATCACGGCGTGTCAGCTTAATGTGAGAGGAAAGCCCTTTGGTGAAACCCGGGTATGGTGCTGACAAACCTAGAAACACAATCGGGACGAACCGGGATTCGAACCCACAACCATAGGTTTCTGGCGTGCCCAAGGGACGCAACTCTGCGCAGCGAATCACGGCGCCTCAGACGACTGGGCTACCCGTGTCTCCCCCCTCCCCCCATACAATCAAGTGGAGCTAAAGATATATGGTTGGTCGCCTGTTCTTTTTGTGTTCAAACTGAAGATACGTACATATAACACAGCAGTGAATGGAGATCTACCAGACTGAGAAACACACCCCTATCCTAGCCCGGATCTTAACGCGTCCCCAATGCAATGCCAGTGTCACCTATGCATGCCTTTGTCCCCGCAACACACGACTGACAACGATTTACAAAAGACCTCAGTTTATCGCATATGACTTGACATTCCAACCAGGAAGTATGGTGTAATGGGGTAACCCAGAATTTGCATCTACTTCCTCCATGAGCTCGCATACCGCTTGACGCACACAGGCAGCTAACTCACTTCCCGACGGGCGCCCTACACGACACCAGCTACCACGGTAAGTACACGCCACTACATGGGTACTAGTCGAGACATGACGGGTCCTATTTCGCCGTGTTTAGTATACTGTGAGTTATACACGGAATGATCTCACGCCACCCGAGATGTAACCACACCCATCTCTGTTCCAGCGGCACTGTCACGTGATCACAGTGTTTAGGGTGCCGGGTGATTCTATCACCTGTTGGAGTGACCTTGGGGCCGTTTCTAGGGTTACATTTGCAGTGGATATGTCATGTTCAGAAAATGCTTGTTCACATACAGGGTATATTTTAAGGGGGTTTGGGGTTCTTGCCCCAACGGGGTATATTGTTGTGGTTGGGGTAATGTATGGTAAAGGGTACATTTATGGGGATAGGGTAAGGGTATGTATGGCTCGCTATGACCGATACACCCGGTGTTTATTCTCTGTGTCATGTACACATATACAGAGAAGGAAGTCAATTAGTCGTTTCGTTGTGACATTATTACCGTACTTACGCTAATACACTTCCAGGTTATAAACTGTATATTTCAGCAGTGATCCGTTACCCTATTATACGATGACATCCCAAAATAAGCACACGCTTTCCAGTACACGTATTGATCAGTTTCTACAAAGACTGGGCTATTGCGTTTAGTCGAAGTTTATCACCCTTCAACGCTCAGCTATGTCAATCTGGGTATAGTGGAGTGTTGGTTGGTAATCAGTCTACACAACTGGGACACGATGTCATGCATCAACCAAGTCAGCGAGCCTGACCTCCCGATCCCGTTAGTCGCCTCTTACGACAAGTATAGTCACATTTTCGGCAAGCATGGGTTGACTATCCCGGGTCTTCATGGGGCTTCAACATGTAAGGCAGATACATGTGTTTGATATGTGTTGTTGAAGCTGTTCTTGCTTCCTGGTGATTCCGGGCCACATCCCCAGAACCACATCTTCCAGCTGCTGATCGATGAGCCGCACCGTGTGACCCAGTTGAGCCCATGTGGACAGGTGCTCGTGCTGTCGCCCACCGGTCTGCACGGTCAAGGCGTGACGCTGTCAGTACAGTCAGCCGTGGTACAGCGGGAATATTGCTGTCTGCGGCGTAAAACAACACCCAGACTGTTATCTTGTTTTACGTTCCCAGGATGAGTTTCGACACGGATATGACTGCGAGGGTATATGATAGAGCTAATATGGCGCAGATTACATGGGTTGACGACCTGGTCCACAGTTCAGGGAACTATTTCCTTGTGCTGATTGTTTAGTTTGTAGGACCTGTACCGGAGAGACGATGTACAAGCCAAGCATTCGGTCCACCTTAAAATAGATGGACAAGTTGGAGAACGATAAGCCCTTTTATTGTAACTTCTTATGTAGATTTCCTGTCATGTTAAAATACAAGACGATGAACAAATATTTACAAAACATATAAAAACAAAACAAAAAACAGTTACGATGGAAAGTTTTGATAAAAAACAACAATTAACATAATCTATACTCTTTACATCTATACTCTGCCAAAAAAAATCCCGCAAAAGTAGTAAAATCGTAAATATCTGACAGTGTTACCGACATCCATAAAAAAATAAAACCAAAAATGATTTGGTGATTTTTGCATGGATTGGGGTTGATTTGTATGGGAAGAATGGGGTACTGCAGATATTTGGTGAAAACATTGCAAAAAAAACAAAAAAACACGTGAGAGCCTTGCGCCGAAACACACCAACATGACATGCACGTGCAACATCACTTGTTGGGCTATAAAAACGTTGGGTTTTCATTTGCATGTCATCACAATCGTACAGCAAGTGAACAGCGAAAACATGCTACGAATGACGGAAGCCCAACGCAACAACGCCATCGGCCGACTGCAAACAGGAGAATCATCTTCAGCTGTAGCCAGTTTTTACCAAGCACCATTACAAAACTGTGGAACATTTATCAGACACACGGGGCAACACGTGACCTTCCCAGATCCGGTCGACCACGTATCACTACTAGAGCACGGGACAGATTCATACGGCTAAGTCACTTACGTGGAAGAACCGCTACGGCCACCTCCACAACTTCGGCAATACCAGGAATGCGTAGGATATCAGCCCAGACAGTGAGGATCCGTTTCCGCGCTGAAGGTGTTTGCGCAAGACGACCAGTTAAAGGTGTTATTTTGACAGACCTGCATCGCCGGTTTAGACGTCAGTGGTGTCAAGGTCACAGAGTGTGGCCACAACTGCGATGGAGACAAGTTTGGTTTCGTGACGAGTCATGTGTTATACTTGGCTATGCGGATGGTAGACGTCGCGTTTACAGGCGTCGCAGGGAACGTTAGGCACGAAACTGCATACAGCAAGTGGACAAATTTGGTGGTGGTAGTGTAACGATGTGGGCAACCATCTCCTACACTGGAAGAACAGACTTTGTGCAAGTTCTGGGGAATTTAACGGCACAACGTTACACGGATGAGATTCTTAGCCCACGTGTCCTTCCCATTATGCAACAAACGAACGTCATTTTCCAACAAGACAACGCCCGACCTCACACGGCAAGACTGACAACAGCCTTTTTCAGGAATCACCATATCCAGGTCCTGCCATGACTCTCCAGGTCTCCAGATTTAAACATTTATGGGATGTACTGGATCAACGACCGCGAGCACGTCAGCAACAACCACAGAACCTCTAAGAGTTGGCACAAGTACTGCAGGCAGAGTGGGTGAACATTCCCCAGGCCACAATTCAGGATCTGATTGCTTCCATGAGACAACGATGCCAGTCAGTTTCGGACTCTGGTGGCCATACAAGATATTGAGAACAGATGACCTCCACCCTGAAAATCTACTGATCCACGTGCTCCATATAGAACCTGGGTCCAAGACAATGTTGCGTGTCAATTTTGAACAATCGATTACCATCTGTTGTTTATTTATATGATATATAACATATACGTCTAAAATCACTTTTGCAGGTTTTTTTGCAGAGTATATATATATCGAACGCAAAAGAACATACGGCGCGCCATTAATTCCCTTGATGATTCTTATCTGTTAGCAATTACTTTTGCAGATGAAGTCGCTGATCACGCTGACGTTGGTGTTTTTCCTTGCGTTCCTGACTTCGGCGCAAGGCAACCTGCTACTGAAGGAGGCTATTCGGAACGCGTTCTACGGCTTGTTCAATGGCCGTGACGTCAGGACACACGTCACTGATGCCGGCCATGTGCAGAGCTGCGGTAAGATCGATGGGTGATATATGGATGCGTGTGCGTGCGCGTGTGCGTGCGCGTGTGCGTGCCTTTGCGTATGCGCATTCTTTTGCATGCATGGGACGGTATAGATTTTGTGTTCAAATAAATACAACTTAGCTTGATTGTTGATTATCCATTTATCTCCATCATTACATTTGATCATGAAGCAAAATCAACATCGTGATTTGAAGCCTATCCTAGTTATTGAAGACAGTGCTTAAGGCTGCTAGGAGGATATGACACTGCCATGTCACTCACAACGGATGTGGTGACGTCCACGATTGACTAGCATAGCATTGTAAGCCTTGGTATCCATACTCTCAGTGGTAGGTTGCCTGTGGTGCATGCCTGATAAGTCCGGTCACTTCATATGTGCTACACATAATAAGTGTCCTGGATTTCATGATGGCAACCTCATCCTAATATAGTGGCAACCTCATGCTAATATAGTGGCAACCTCATCCTGAAATAGTTGCAACCTCATCCTAATATAGTGGCAACCTCATCCTAATATAGTGGCAACCTCATCCTAAAATAGTGCCAACCTGATCCTAAAATAGTGGCAACCTCATCCTAATATAGTGGCAACCTCATCCTAATATAGTGGCAACCTCATGCTAATATAGTGGCAAGCTCATCCTAATATAGTAGCAACCTCTTCCTAATATAGTGGCAACCTCACCCTAAAATAGTGGCAACCTCATCCTAATATAGTGGCAACCTCATCCTAATATAGTGGCAACCTCATCCTAATAGAGTGGCAACCTCATCCTAATATAGTGGCAAGCTCATCCTAATATAGTAGCAACCTCTTCCTAATATAGTGGCAACCTCACCCTAAAATAGTGGCAACCTCATCCTAAAATTGTGGCAACCTCATCCTAAAAAGTGGCAACCTCATCCTCATATAGAGGCAACCTCATCCTAAAATAGTGGCAACCTCATCCTAATAAAGTGGCAACCTCTTCCTAATATAGTGGCAACCTCATCCTGAAATAGTGGCAACCTCATCCTAAAATAGTGGCAACCTCATCCTAAAATAGTGGCAACCTCTTCCTAATATAGTGGCAACCTCATCCTAAAATAGTGGCAACCTCATCCCAATAGAGTGGCAACCTCATCCTAAAATAGTGGCAACCTCATCCTAATATAGAGGCAACATCTTCCTAATATAGTGGCAACCTCATCCTGAAATAGTGGCAACCTCATCCTAAAATAGTGGCAACCTCATCTTAATATAGTGGCAACCTCTTCCTAATATAGTGGCAACCTCATCCTAAAATAGTGGCAACCTCATCCTAAAATAGTAGCAGCTAGTAAGGATTGTAAACTATTCTGGAGAAGACTTCAACAGTGTAATATGTCTCGTGTCATCTCACAGTCAGCATCTCGTCAGCAGCGGGTGGATTACTTCATGTCGCTCCTGTCTGTGGAACCAGTCAACACCCCCCCATGTTTGAATACAGTCGCATCAATGCATAATAATGTATCTGCTTATGTTAGAACCCCCAAAGGTATATCTAAGTGTTTTACCTGTAACATTGGCACCCGTCAAGGATGTGTTTTAAGTCCACAAGTATTTATTATAATCAATAAACAAGTTATCTCCCCTTATGGAAAGATAGGGTGGACAAGGTATCACTGTTACAATGTACCTCGTCTATGAATGATCTGTGCTCCCTCCTGTTTGCTGAAGATGTCTCAGCAAAGTCCGACACCTGTTCACAACTACAGACAAAGATAACTGTACTAGAAAGAGTTTGTAAACATACTGGCATGAAAGTAAATCTGAATAAAACTAAGATTGTTGTGTTTAGAAATGGTCGTCCCTTAAGGTCGTATGAAAAATGGCTTTTTGATGGTGCACCTATAGAATCAGTATCTTTATAGAAGTACCTGGGACTTGTATTCACCCGTAAGTTATTCTGGAGCAAAGCTCCGACCTTTATATATTTAAAAGTATTTAAGTATAGGTGATCTTTCTCAACATTTGAGAACTTTCTATTCTAGATTTAGATGTTGCAATTTCAAGTTTGCCGTTGAGACTGGCAGATATGAAAATATAATTTATAAAGAAGATACTGTATGTCATGCAAGCTTTAAGGCTATTTTGCTGTTGAAGACGAACAGTACATTTTCTGAATTGCGAAACAAGTTTATCATAAAATATTTTAGTAAATATCCTACAATTAACAATTTTATTTCTGTCATGCAGAATAGGAACATTGATGTCATCAGACATGTCGGTCTATTCCTATATCATGTAAACACCCGATTGTAAACATGTCATATAATGCACATGCATGACCATTGTTATTTATGTACCTTGGGCCGGAGGCCTTATACTGAATAAAACTTTCTGTCTGTCTGATTGACAAGCGTTGATGGCGAGGGAAACTATGATACAGGGGATTCAGTAGGATAACGCGACTATGTTAGGAACGAGGTGATATAGCGGTTTCAGGAGTATAAACACGACTATGTTAGGAACGAGATGATATAGCGGTTTCAGAAGTATAAACACGACTATGTTAGGAACGAGATGATGTAGCGGTTTCAGGAGTATAACAACGACTAGGGTTAGGGATCGGAAGACGTCCAGTATTGATTCAAACAAGTCACTCTAGGACAGGGGGGCACGGGTAGCCCAGTCGTCTAACGCGCCGCGATTCGCTGTGCAGAGTTACGTCCCTTGGGCACGCCTGAAACCTATGATCATAAGTTCGAATCCAGGTTCGCCCCGATTATGTTTCTAGGTTTGTCAGCAGCATACCCGGGTTTCACCGAAGTGGTAAACGTCTGAGACCTGCATCACTTCGGGCTTTCCTCCCACATTCAGCTGATACGCCGTGATATAACTGGAATACTGTTAAAAGCGGCGCTTAACCCAACTCACTCACTCACTCACTCACTCACTCTAGGACACTATCCCGTTACATTCCAGGCCCACCTGATGCTAATTTCTCTGTGTCGTGGGAGCCCAAGGTTCTCGACCCCGAGGGCAGCATCGTTGTCAACTACACCTATAAAGTCCGTAAGTACCATCGGCAACGCTCAAGTAAGACTCTTGTTCATGTGATTTGATGTCAATCATTTCCATGCAGGGTTAACGTAAGACGTTGGTAGCGTATCAGGGCAAAGGAAACTGCCTTCGTATTCGTATCCCGGTTCGTGTCTATCTTGTTTCAAGGTTTGTCAGCACCATCCCATTAATTCATGTTTGTATGCCCATTATGTTTTAGCTCACGACTTCAAACAGGGAACAGCTGACGTGGCACTGTACTTCAACAAGATAAAAAACCCTATCTTTGACGACACATTCCCTCTCACCTGTAAGGACATTAAAAAATACTTCCACTGCCCTTTCATGGCCGGACGTAAGTATTCATTAATATCACTTTTTTTCGTTACTCAAAATGAGAGTTCAAAATTACGATTTTTTTTGTAAAAAATGACTATTTACATATTAAGGAATGTCATCAACTTAGTGTAAATTTATTGAATGCGTCGGTATCTTGTCCTTTCTCTCCACAAGTTATTGAGCACTTGTCAGAGGCACGCTGCTACTGCTGTGTTTCTATATACACGTTATTGAGCGCCTGTCAGAGGACCTACATATTTGAATGAGGGCGGGAGGGTAAATGAGTGTTTGAATGAGGGTGGTGGGTTATTGAGTGATTGAAGTAGGGTGGTGGGTAAATGAGTGATTGAATGAGGGTTGTGGGTAAATTAGTGATTGAATAAGTGGGTGGGTAAATTAGTGATTGAATGAGGGCGGATGGGTAAATGAGTTATTGAATGAGGGTAGTTGGTAATTGAGTGATTGAAGTAGGGTGGTGGGTAAATGAGTGATTGAATGAGGGTTGTGGGTAAGTCAGTGTTTGAATGAGGGTGGTGGGTAAATGAGTGATTGAATGAGGGTGGGTAAATTAGTGATTGAATAAGTGGGTGGGTAAATTAGTGATTGAATGAGGGCGGATGGGTAAATGAGTTATTGAATGAGGGTAGTTGGTAATTGAGTGATTGAAGTAGGGTGGTGGGTAAATGAGTGATTGAATGAGGGTTGTGGGTAAGTCAGTGTTTGAATGAGGGCGGATGGGTAAATGAGTTATTGAATGAGGGTAGTTGGTAATTGAGTGATTGAAGTAGGGTGGTGGGTAAATGAGTGATTGAATGAGGGTTGTGGGTAAGTCAGTGTTTGAATGAGGGTGGTGGGTAAATGAGTGATTGAATGAGGGTGGGTAAATTAGTGATTGAATAAGTGGGTGGGTAAATTAGTGATTGAATGAGGGCGGATGGGTAAATGAGTTATTGAATGAGGGTAGTTGGTAATTGAGTGATTGAAGTAGGGTGGTGGGTAAATGAGTGATTGAATGAGGGCGGATGGGTAAATGAGTGCTTGAATGAGGGTGGTGGGTAAATTAGTGATTGAATGAGGGCGGATGGGTAAATGAGAGATTGAATGAGGGTGGTTGGGTAAATTAGTGATTGAATGCGGGTGGGTGGGTAAATGAGAGATTGAATGAGGGTGGTGGGTAAATGAGTGATTGAATGAGGGTGGTGGGTAAATGAGTGATTGAATGAGGGTGGTGGGTAAATGAGTGATTGAATGAGGGTGGTGGGTAAATGAGAGATTGAATGAGGGTGGTGGGTAAATGAGTGATTGAATGAGGGCGGATTGGTAAATGAGTGATTGAATGAGGGTTGTTGGTAAATTAGTGTTTGAATGAGGGTGGTTGGGTAAATTAGTGATTGAATGCGGGTGGATGGGTAAATGAGAGATTGAATGAGGGTGGTGGTTAAATGAGTGATTGAATGAGGGTGGGTGGGTAAATTAGTGTTTGAATGAGGGTTGTTGGGTAAATTAGTAATTGAATGAGGATGGTGGGTAAATGAGTGATTGAATGAGGGTGGGTTGGTAAATGAGTGATTGAATGAGGGTGGTGGGTAAATGAGTGATTGAATGAGGATGGTGGGTAAATGAGAGATTGAATGAGGGTGGTGGGTAAATGAGTGATTGAATGAGGGTGGTGGGTAAATGAGTGATTGAATGAGGGTGGTGGGTAAATGAGTGATTGAATGAGGATGGTGGGTAAATGAGAGATTGAATGAGGGTGGTGGGTAAATGAGTGATTGAATGAGGGTGGTGGGTAAATGAGTGATTGAATGAGGGTGGGTGGGTAAATTAGTGATTGAATGAGGGTGGTGGGTAAATGAGTGATTGAATGAGGGTGGTGGGTAAATGAGTGATTGAATGAGGGTGGGTGGGTAAATTAGTGATTGAATGAGGGTGGGTGGGTAAATTAGTGATTGAATGAGGGTGGTGGGTAAATGAGAGATTGAATGAGGGTGGTGGGTAAATGAGTGATTGAATGAGGGTGGTGGGTAAATGAGTGATTGAATGAGGGTGGGTGGGTAAATTAGTGTTTGAATGAGGGTGGTGGGTAAATTAGTGATTGAATGCGGGTGGGTGGGTAAATGAGAGATTGAATGAGGGTGGTGGGTAAATGAGTGATTGAATGAGGGTGGTGGGTAAATGAGTGATTGAATGAGGGTGGTGGGTAAATGAGTGATTGAATGAGGGTGGTGGGTAAATGAGAGATTGAATGAGGGTGGTGGGTAAATGAGTGATTGAATGAGGGCGGATTGGTAAATGAGTGATTGAATGAGGGTTGTTGGTAAATTAGTGTTTGAATGAGGGTGGTTGGGTAAATTAGTGATTGAATGCGGGTGGATGGGTAAATGAGAGATTGAATGAGGGTGGTGGTTAAATGAGTGATTGAATGAGGGTGGGTGGGTAAATTAGTGTTTGAATGAGGGTTGTTGGGTAAATTAGTAATTGAATGAGGATGGTGGGTAAATGAGTGATTGAATGAGGGTGGGTTGGTAAATGAGTGATTGAATGAGGGTGGTGGGTAAATGAGTGATTGAATGAGGATGGTGGGTAAATGAGAGATTGAATGAGGGTGGTGGGTAAATGAGTGATTGAATGAGGGTGGTGGGTAAATGAGTGATTGAATGAGGGTGGTGGGTAAATGAGTGATTGAATGAGGATGGTGGGTAAATGAGAGATTGAATGAGGGTGGTGGGTAAATGAGTGATTGAATGAGGGTGGTGGGTAAATGAGTGATTGAATGAGGGTGGGTGGGTAAATTAGTGATTGAATGAGGGTGGTGGGTAAATGAGTGATTGAATGAGGGTGGTGGGTAAATGAGTGATTGAATGAGGGTGGGTGGGTAAATTAGTGATTGAATGAGGGTGGGTGGGTAAATTAGTGATTGAATGAGGGTGGTGGGTAAATGAGAGATTGAATGAGGGTGGTGGGTAAATGAGTGATTGAATGAGGGTGGTGGGTAAATGAGTGATTGAATGAGGGTGGGTGGGTAAATTAGTGTTTGAATGAGGGTGGTGGGTAAATTAGTGATTGAATGCGGGTGGGTGGGTAAATGAGTGATTGAATGAGGGTGGTGGGTAAATGAGTGATTGAATGAGGGTGGTGGGTAAATGAGTGATTGAATGAGGGTGGTGGGTAAATTAGTGATTGAATGAGGGTGGGTGGGTAAATGAGTGATTGAATGAGGGTGGTGGGTAAATTAGTGTGAGAGTGAGTGATTGAGTGTGGGTTGGCGGATGGATGAGTGATTGATTGATACACATTGTAGTAATATTCAGACATATCACGGCCAGGGCACACAAGCCATCTACCACAGTGCCCATGTATGGAAACGAACCCAGATCTTCTGTGCGACTCGATACCCACTAGGCTACCCAACTAGCGACTTTCCCCTGATGTTTCATTAAGTATTTAAATGCATTTACTATGCATTTGTGATTCTATAATGTTCAATTCTTGATTTTACAGCGACTGTCCATGGAAGCTACCCCTACTCTAACCTGCTCATCCTCAAAGGTTATGATGTACGTATATTTGTTACTGAAGGCGGCGTATTGTCGCATCAGCATGTTTGCGGTCATATTAATTAGGGGATGAATTCCCTGATAAAGCTCAGTCATTCAAATCATGCTGCTACACAGAACTTCTAGGGTGAGTGAGTGAGATTGTTGTTTAACGCCCTAACTCATCAATGTTCTAGCTATATGACGGAAGTGAGTAAATAATCAAGTCTTGACCAGACAATCCAGTGATTGATATCATGAGCATCACAATCGAGATACGATGACATGCATCAACCAAGTCAGCGAGCCTGACCACCCGATCCCGTCAGTGGCCGCTTACGACAAGCATAGTTGCTGAAGAACAATTCTACCCCGGATCGTCCCGGGGTTTTAACAATGATTGAACCCTAAAACCACATTTACCATTAATATGGACCACTCATCATTTCATTGCATGTCTCGATTCTTCTGCCAAAGTCCAAAGATGATGCTTGTTAGTTCGTGGTTTCATTTCCTTTAGTCTGAGAAAACCACTTGAATAATGAACGACGGGCGAGTAAAAACGATTTTATCCTGATTGTCCACTTAAAGTGGGGCGAGTGGTTAAAGCGTTCGCTCGTCACGCCGAAGACCAGGGTTCGATTCTCCACATGAGTATAATGTGTGAAGCCCATGTCTGGTTGCCCCGCCGTTATATTGCGGGAGTATTGCTTAAAGCAGCGTAAAACCATACTTACTCACTCACTCACTCACTCCACTTAAAGTGTTAGGACCAGCTGACCTGGAAACAAAGGGTTGAAGTCGATATAACAATTGTCTGACATAACAATTTAATAACAATTGAACAATTGACTAACAATTGACCCCGCCATATGCTACACATTGTAGTGTAGCATAGGAGTCGTCCGAGATTGTGTTCATTCATTGGAACTTCGTTGGCGATAAATGGATTAATCCAGAACGTAAGCCCACTCGATACTGACATCTGTGATTGGTTAAAGTGGAACGTGTTCTGTTCCAGGGGGTGTACAAAGCCAAAGTGAATGTCAAGAATCAGGACGGAAAGGTGATGATCTGCGCCATCGCTGTGGTGGAGATCAGAGGCAAGGACTAAGACAACCCTCATCTGCTGTTACTTTCCCTGAAGACCGATCTCAACTTGAACTCAAATTTAAGATAGAAACTTCAAATTCTCTCTTTTAAGATAGAAACTTCAAATTCTCTCTTTTAAGATAGAAAATTCAGACTGACGTCCCTTATAACAAGGAAGCAAGTACCTGCCGTTAGTATTCCCGCGATATTTGTTACTTGTGTGACCAGGTTTCCACTCAGTGAGATGTTTCACCAACGTAATCCCGCCCAATCAACACCAGAATGAAAGAGCACAAAACCTCCATCATTAAATCATCTTATCACTTATCCTGTTTAATTGGCTTCGTGTCCCATTGGCTTCCACCTGTGTGTTCTCTGTCCATCATGTTGTGACAGCATCATCCCTTTGTTGTCACACCTACCTATGTCATCCCACTCATGTATGCAATTGTTGTTACTGTTAATCCTCTACTGTCAATCCTCCACCTACTATAGTTATTATATACATATGAATGAAATACTGGAATTTATCAGTGACGATAGATCAAGTTATCAGTCACTAGTGACTAATATAAACAAGGTGCCGGAACTACTTTCTCCTGAATCAAAACATTGCGTTTACGTCAGGTGCCGACTGTCTCAACCGCAGGTGCATAACTTCTCTTCAACTGACCACAGGAACTCTTTGACGAGTCTGATGTCTGGAAATAACATCTATGGCAATGTTAATATCACTCTTGCGCCGGACATGCTTCGCCAGACATTAGGCACAACTGGCGACAGCGAGACGTACCGCCGAGGCGAGAAGCGCCCGCTTGAATTTTCCGAGAATTGAACTTTCCTAATTTAATTCATGACAGCAAGCAACAATGTTTCAGTTAAAATGTTCAGGGTTCTATAACTGTGTCACTCGTGAAAATATTAGACTCTCCCCACTTCACTCGATGAGATAAAAGTGGTATTTGAGAAAACACATTAAATATCCTCTATATATTCTGTACTATGTCCCTCATTCAGTCTTGCTTGACAACAGTATTTATAGGGATCTATACTGAAACGTCGCTTTTAAAGAAGTTGTTATCCATAAAATTGTGTCTACCTTGTCAATCGTCAACTTATTATGCCCCGCCCAACAAAGTTGGCGGGGATATAGAAACGGGCTCCGTCCGTCCGTCCGTCCATCCTTACGTCCGCCCGTACGTCTGTCCGTACGTCCGTCCGTCACCTTTCGTTTCCGGAGCATAACTCATAAACCGTTCAATATTTTTTCATCAAACTTTGCAGGTTTGTCAGGTACATACTGAACTGGTGCCTTTTGCTATTTAGAAATTTTAGAATTTTTAATTTTTTACGTTTCCATGGCAACAAGATGGACTTAGGTTCTGTGAGGGTAGGGTTCGTTTCCGGAGCATAACTCATAAACCGTTCAATATTTTTTAATCAAACTTTGCAGGTTTGTCAGGTACATGCTGAACTGGTGCCTTTTGCTATATAGAAATTTTAGAAGTTTTTTATATTTTACGTTTCCATGGCAGCAAGATGGACTTAGGTTCCAAACTCTTCTTTTGTTTTACAATTTTCAGGTCAGGGTTTGTTTAGATTTAATTATGTGATAAATTCTGCAACAGGGGCGGGGGATATAGCCACGTTAGTGTCAAACTCTTGTTAGTAATGCCTATCTAACAATGTAGGGTTGATAAGAATAAAAAAATACATACAAAATGAATTTATCATTGACAATGATAACAAGCATCATTGTTTTGACTCGTTTGAAGTCACACAATACCCTACATGTACAATAGGTCTTCAGCAACCTTGCCGTAAAAGGTGACTATGCTTGTCGTAAGAGGCGACTAACCGGATCAGGTGGTCAGGCTCGCTGACTTGGTTGATGCATGTCATCGTATCCCACTTGCTTGGGATCAATCATCGGATTGTCTGGTCCAGACTCGATTATTTACACAGACCGCCGCCATATACCTGGAATATTGCTGGAGTCGGCGTTAAACAACAAACAAACAAACAAACAAACAAACATGTACAATTGTAGAAATGTGAGGGTTGAATCGTCTCAATCAATGATCGAAGCAAGTGAATCCAGTCCAATGGTTTGACGTCTTCGCTGGTCTGCTAGCACTAAGGACATTACTTCTTCATTTATTTCTTAACACACTGCTTAATACGCACGCAGAGGCACGTGATATGCCGATCTCATTTTAAATATATGGAAACTTTCCATAACCGTGAGGACGTTCTGCATAAACCAGAGTCCATAGTACGAGTCCAACTAGAGCAAGACCATGTGTTTAGGAACCACAGACATGGCTGAAATATTGCCGATGTGACGTAAAGCATTAACTCACTCACTCACTCACTATGAACCACAAATGAAATAGTGATGTTAGTGAGGTAACGGGTGAGCCTGGCACTCATCACAAACACACGCAAAGGCAAGGTGATTACTCACCTGAACAACCATGGAAACATATGGTACAAGTCCAAATAGAGAATTGTGGACCTTACATGATGTCATGTAAGTAAATCCACAAACACTTAAGTCAATTGAGCAAATTGGTTTTCTGTGACAAGTCAGAAATGCGCAGTGGTGTGTGATCCTTAGAAAATGGACAAACGTGAGAAACACGCCGTGATCAGGTACCTGCAACACAAGGGAATAAACAGCAGTACTGTGCAACACTCGGGAATAAACAACAGTACAACAGAAGGAATAAACAACAGCACTCCACTATGAAATATACATCAGCACAGCACCAGGTGATTTACAACGGCGCCTCACCACGGGGATACACAACGGCACAGCATCAAGGGGATGCACAACCGCGCAACACCAAGGGGGTACACAGCAAGGCAGCACCAAGGGGGCACACAACAGTGCAGCACCAAGGGGTAACAATGCAGCACCAAGGGGGTACACAACAACGCAGCACCAAGGGGGCACACAACAGAGCAGCACCAAGGGGGTACACAACATTGCAGCACCAAGGGGGCACACAACAGTGCAGCACCAAGGAGGTACACAATCGTGCGGCACCAAGGGGGTAACACAATGCAGCACCAAGGGGGTACACAACAGAGCAGCACCAAGAGGGTACACAACAGTGCAGCACCAAGGGGATACACAACAGTGCAGCACCAAGGGGGTACACAACAGTGCAGCACCAAGGGGGCACACAACAGTGCAGCACCAAGGGGGTACACAACAATGCAGCATCAAGGGGGTACACAACAGAGCAGCACCAAGGGGGTACACAACAGTGCAGCACCAAGGGGTAACAGTGCAGCACCAAGGGGGTACACAACAGTGCAGCACCAAGGGGGTACACAACAGAGCAGCACCAAGGGGGTACACAACAGTGAAACACCAAGGGGGTACACAACAGAGCAGCACCAAGTGGGTACACAACAGTGCAGCACCAAGAGGGTACACAACAGTGCAGCACCAAGGGGGCACACAACAGTGCATCATCAAGGGGGTACACAACAGTGCAGCACCAAGGGGGCACACAACAGTGCATCACCAAGGGGGCACACAACAGTGCAGCACCAAGGGGGTACACAACAGTGCAGCACCAAGGGGGTACACAACAGTGCAGCACCAAGGGGGTACACAACAGTGCAGCACCAAGGGGGCACACAACAGTGCATCATCAAGGGGGTACACAACAGTGCATCATCAAGGGGGTACACAACAGTGCATCATCAAGGGGGTACACAACAGTGCAGCACCAAGGGGGCACACAACAGTGCAGCACCAAGGGGTAACACAGTGCAGCACCAAGGGGGTACACAACAGTGCAGCATCAAGGGGGTACACAACAGTGCAGCGCCAAGGGGGCACACAACAGTGCAGCATCAAGGGGGTACACAACAGTGCAGCATCAAGGGGGTACACAACAGTGCAGCACCAAGGGGGCACACAACAGTGCAGCACCAAGGGGTAACACAGTGCAGCACCAAGGGGGTACACAACAGTGCGGCACCAAGGGGGTACACAACAGTGCAGCACTAAGGGGTAACAGTGCGGCACCAAGGGGGTACACAACAGTGCAGCACCAAGGGGGTACACAACAGTGCGGCACCAAGGGGGTACACAACAGTGCGGCACCAAGGGGTAACAGTGCGGCACCAAGGGGGTACACAACAGTGCAGCACCAAGAGGGTACACAACAGTGCAGCACCAAGGGGGTACACAACAACGCAGCACCAAGGGGATACACAACAGTGCAGCACCAAGGGGGTACACAACAGTGCAGCACCAAGGGGGTACACAACAGTGCAGCACCAAGGGGGTACACAACAGAGCAGCACCAAGGGGGTACACAACAGTGCGGCACCAAGGGGGTACACAACAGTGCGGCACCAAGGGGGTACACAACAGTACAGCACCAAGGGGGTACACAACAGTGCGGCACCAAGGGGGTACACAACAGTGCAGCACCAAGGGGGTACACAACAGTACAGCACCAAGGGGTAACAGTGCAGCACCAAGGGGGTACACAACAGTACAGCACCAAGGGGGTACACAACAGTGCGGCACCAAGGGGGTACACAACAGTGCGGCACCAAGGGGTAACAGTGCGGCACCAAGGGGGTACACAACAGTACAGCACCAAGGGGGTACACAACAGTGCAGCACCAAGAGGGTACACAACAGTGCAGCACCAAGGGGGTACACAACAACGCAGCACCAAGGGGATACACAACAGTGCAGCACCAAGGGGGTACACAACAGTGCGGCACCAAGGGGGTACACAACAGTGCGGCACCAAGGGGGTACACAACAGTGCGGCACCAAGGGGTAACAGTGCGGCACCAAGGGGGTACACAACAGTACAGCACCAAGGGGGTACACAACAGTGCAGCACCAAGAGGGTACACAACAGTGCAGCACCAAGGGGGTACACAACAACGCAGCACCAAGGGGATACACAACAGTGCAGCACCAAGAGGGTACACAACAGTGCAGCACCAAGGGGGCACACAACAGTGCATCATCAAGGGGGTACACAACAGTGCAGCACCAAGGGGGCACACAACAGTGCATCACCAAGGGGGCACACAACAGTGCAGCACCAAGGGGGTACACAACAGTGCAGCACCAAGGGGGTACACAACAGTGCAGCACCAAGGGGGTACACAACAGTGCAGCACCAAGGGGGCACACAACAGTGCATCATCAAGGGGGTACACAACAGTGCATCATCAAGGGGGTACACAACAGTGCATCATCAAGGGGGTACACAACAGTGCAGCACCAAGGGGGCACACAACAGTGCAGCACCAAGGGGTAACACAGTGCAGCACCAAGGGGGTACACAACAGTGCAGCATCAAGGGGGTACACAACAGTGCAGCGCCAAGGGGGCACACAACAGTGCAGCATCAAGGGGGTACACAACAGTGCAGCATCAAGGGGGTACACAACAGTGCAGCACCAAGGGGGCACACAACAGTGCAGCACCAAGGGGTAACACAGTGCAGCACCAAGGGGGTACACAACAGTGCGGCACCAAGGGGGTACACAACAGTGCAGCACTAAGGGGTAACAGTGCGGCACCAAGGGGGTACACAACAGTGCAGCACCAAGGGGGTACACAACAGTGCAGCACTAAGGGGTAACAGTGCGGCACCAAGGGGGTACACAACAGTGCAGCACCAAGGGGGTACACAACAGTGCGGCACCAAGGGGGTACACAACAGTGCGGCACCAAGGGGTAACAGTGCAGCACCAAGAGGGTACACAACAGTGCAGCACCAAGGGGGTACACAACAACGCAGCACCAAGGGGATACACAACAGTGCAGCACCAAGGGGGTACACAACAGTGCAGCACCAAGGGGGTACACAACAGTGCAGCACCAAGGGGGTACACAACAGAGCAGCACCAAGGGGGTACACAACAGTGCGGCACCAAGGGGGTACACAACAGTGCGGCACCAAGGGGGTACACAACAGTACAGCACCAAGGGGGTACACAACAGTGCGGCACCAAGGGGGTACACAACAGTGCAGCACCAAGGGGGTACACAACAGTACAGCACCAAGGGGTAACAGTGCAGCACCAAGGGGGTACACAACAGTACAGCACCAAGGGGGTACACAACAGTGCGGCACCAAGGGGGTACACAACAGTGCGGCACCAAGGGGTAACAGTGCGGCACCAAGGGGGTACACAACAGTACAGCACCAAGGGGGTACACAACAGTGCAGCACCAAGAGGGTACACAACAGTGCAGCACCAAGGGGGTACACAACAACGCAGCACCAAGGGGATACACAACAGTGCAGCACCAAGGGGGTACACAACAGTGCGGCACCAAGGGGGTACACAACAGTGCAGCACCAAGGGGGCACACAACAACGCAGCACCAAGGGGGTACACAACAGTGCAGCACCAAGGGGGTACACAACAGAGCAGCACCAAGGGGGTACACAACAGTGCAGCACCAAGGGGGTACACAACAGTGCGGCACCAAGGGGGTACACAACAGAGCAGCACCAAGGGGGTACACGACAGTGCGGCACCAAGGGGGTACACAACAGTGCAGCACCAAGGGGGTACACCACTAGAAAATATGAATATTCCACAGTACAACACTAGAAAATATGAATATTCCACAGTACAAGACCAGAAAATGCTTCCCTTTCCTGTACTATCGTCACGAGGTGGGCACCAAGCGTGAGCGGGGAGAGCGTTGAAGACGACTCTGTCGCATGAGCAAGAACAAGGATGATCCAGAGATCATGGTGATGGCAGACTGGCGAATGAATGAGCCTCCAAATATTAGTTCCGTAGGCATTTCCCAGGAGAGAGTACATTTCACTATCTCAGACACGTTGGCAAAGAAGAAAGGATCATCCCACACCAGGCACAACACAACACACCATGTCATGCCATTGTATAAGAAAGGAGATCATTCAGTTGTGACAAATTACAAACCAATATCACTCATTAGTTGTATTGGTAAAGTATTTGAAAGAGTTGTATTTAAGCATCTTTATAACTACTTTCATGACAATAAATTGTTATATAAATACCAGTCGGGCTTTCAAAAAGGCCATTCCACTGTCCATCAATTAATTGAATTGTATAATCAAATTTGTATATCTTTAGATAATAGAGAAAAATATTGCATGGTTTTTTGCGATGTGTCAAAAGCATTTGATCGTGTCTGGCATAGAGGGCTTATGTACAAATTAGAAATGTATGGTATAAAAGGGAATTTACTTGAATGGCTGTCCAGTTACATAAGCAATCGTACTCAATCAGTGTTTGTAAGCGGGGCTCTATCCAAGCCAAGGATTTTGAAGGCAGGCGTTCCACAGGGGTCGGTGTTAGGTCCCTTTTTATTCATTGTGTTTGTTAACGACATTGCTGATGAATTAGATTGCATAACAAGACTCTTTGCTGACGATACAGCACTCGGCTTTTCTTCACCAGACAATCAACTTGTTGAATCAACTCTAAATTTAAATCTGAGCAAGCTGTGTAACTGGGCAAAACGCTGGTTAATTAAATACAACCCAGATAAAACAGAAGCGGTTATATTTTCCTTAAAAGATGAATCAGACCTCATTACCTTGTACTTTGATGAATGTAAAGTTAAGAATGTTCAAAATCATAAACATTTGGGTATAACGTTTTCATCAAACGGAAAATGGTCCTGTCACGTAGATAACATAATTAAGTCAACATCAAAAATGATAAATTCAATGAGAAAATTAAAATTCATATTGAACAAAAATACACTAAATAAAGTATATACAATCTTCATAAGACCCCATTTCGAATATGCGTGTGAAGTGTGGGATGGGTGTGATATAGAATTATCAACTCAGTTAGAAAATCTCCAACTAGAAGCTGCCAGAGTAGTTACTGGGCTCCCAAAGTATACTTCGCACACACATCTGTATTATGAAACAGGATGGGTAACGTTAATAGAACGAAGAAGGAAACGCAAGCTATGTTTGTTCTACAAAATACAAAGTAATATTGCCCCAACTTACCTTAAAGACATTGCACCAACCACTTTAGGTTCAAATATATCATATAATTTAAGAAATTCAGACAATATTGGGATTCCATATACTAGATTAAAACACTCAACGTGTTCTTTTATTCCATCAACTGTAAGGTTATGGAACACTATTCCTGCAGCAGGTAGAAATTGTACATCTACATCCCAATTCAAGACATACATACAAAAAGAGCAAGTCATTGCACCTCCATATTTTTCCTATGGTGTTAGAAAGTTGAATATTTATCATACTCGATTAAGATACATGAAAAGCCAGTAAAATTATGATTTATACAGAATAGAGGTAAAATGTGATCCAATATGTCAATGTGGTGATCCATGTGAAAACGCATATCATTATTTATTAAAGTGTCCATTGTACGTCCACCAAAGAAAAACTATGTTAATAATAATTCGGGACATTTTACAGAACGCCGTGAACAAAAATGCTAAATTAGATTTAAATTTGATGTTAAACGGAAATGAATGTTTGTCCATTATCGAGATCAACACATTTTTAAAGCAGTGCAAATGTTTATAAGTCATACAAAGAGTTTTGGGTAACACTTTAATGTGCATATACTAGTCTCTCTCTTTTGTACATTTCTTGTTATCTTTACACTCATCATCTTTTCTGTTTTCCTTGTATATGATTTACTGTACAAGCTTTGTAAATACCATGGAGAGGGAGTCCTAAGTTGGATAACTTGTTCCCAATCCATTTCAATCTGAATAAAATATGTTTAAATCACACACCGGGTCTCGTAATAATCTAGCTCTGTTTGAAGCTGATTCAGAAAGGTTCTTGCAATGATTTTTGACGGGATTATACCTGGGTTCACCTGATTCCAAACATTCCAAACGGGGGAAACATTTGACATCACCACCACCAAAGACGGGAAAGACTGTCCCGTAGGGCTGGGACGAGTCCAAATTTACTACCCGGGTACCCACCCCCCTATTACCCGACCCTACCCGGGTACCCAATGTAAGTCTGAGGAGATGTCTCAAAATATCCGAATGGGAACATTTTGAGCATAGCCCTTGCAAAACATTTTAAGATACACGCATTGAACAATCTGGTCATTCATCCACTGAAGTTGAATTAAGTTTTAACTTTATTCAACCATATGAAAAATCAGAAGGAATGGGTGCGTAGTCAGAAAGAAATGCGAACATTAGTGACTTGTAGTGTAACCAGAGAGTTCTAGATAATATTTTCATTAAACAATATATCACGTGGCTTACCACGGGTCCGGGTAGTCCTGCGGGTACCCGGGTCCTACTCAGTACCCACCTGACCCGGGTACCCGAGTTACCCGTCCCAGCCCTACTGTCCCTGCAGCTGTAGAGTGAGTATAGTTTTACGCCGCTTTTAGCAATATTCCAGCAATATCTCGGCGGGGGACACCAAAAATGGGCTTCACACGTTGTACCCATGTCGGTAATCGAACCCGAATCTGAAGCGTGACAAGTGAACGCTTTAACCACTAGGCTACCCGACCACCCCGTCAGCTGGAGAGGGTACAGCCGCTGCGTTCTGGGATGACGAGGTGTCAACATGGTGGGCTATCTTCCACAAGGCCAGGCAATACACGGAGCAGATTATGCTGCACGTACAAGACAATTATGGGATGAAATTAAGACTCAGGGACTCAAGAAGCTGCCAAAAGGTGTACTCTTCCACCAGGACAAAGGGACAGCGCGTAATTCCAGTCCCTGCCATGGCTACAATCCACGAGTCCGGCTTGGAACTCCTGCAGCACCCACCGTGTTCTCCTCACCTGGCTCCGGCAGATTTCCACCGTGATTCTGAACATGAACAAAACTCATTTCGACTCCACCGATAACGTCATAGCATCCGTGGAGAACATTTTGGACAGCCAAGAGAAGGACTTCTTCGGATGAGGGATAAAATGCCCCCAACATCGTTTTAAATGTGTGTCAATGTGGAAAGGGATTATGTTCGTCCGACGCAAATATTGATTTTGAACGGGTGGCCTAGTCGTCAAGGGCGCAGCAATTCCGCGTGCAGAGTTGCGTCCTTTGGGACTCGAGAAACCTATGATTGTGGGTTTGAATCCCGGATAGCCCTGATTATGTTACTAGATTTGTCAGCTTCATACCCCTGCTGGTGGGTATCACCGAAGTGGTAAACGTCTAAGACCTGCATCACTTCGGGCTTTCCTCCCACATTAAGATGGCACGCCGCGATATGTGTTGAGGTGACATTTATTCCATTATCAATCACAATTGATCAATCACCCTGTAATAAAATATATAACATTATATACTGAACATAGAATAGCATACGGCTGCATATCAATTAAATCCTAGTTTGAGCAGTCACATTAATCCATACATGCAACGCATACAGTTACACATCACTAGTTCGTTGTAGATAACTTATATTAAATACAATTTACCGAACTTTCAAATAGTAATACATATATTAAATGTCTCTTATCATAACTGAATTTATCATTTAACTTAAGCATTTATCCATGACATAAGCTTATGACATAAAAACATGTATGTCATACCCCAATGACATAAGTATGCAAATTAGATATGCAAATTAGATAACCGGAAGAGCGAGCGGTTTGATTTGAAACTATATATTATAAGTGAAGTTACACCAGAGATATAATCAGATCACACAGAATCGTTGTTGTTACCGTTATTAAAGTTTCAATTATTCTGCAAAAGTCTGTTCAAGTATTTTGTTTAAAATAATCCGAGGAACTTTTTTTCTCAGCGAATTGTTTATTTTGGTTTACATGGCTATGGAAAACATGTATCACTACGCACGATCTATACGTAAGATTTCGACAAGTTGCTGATGTTAATGTTTAATGCAATTATTCCTTAATTTGGAAGCAAAAATGTGAAAATGATAAATAGAATTCACCACTCGTGTTTTTTAATATGGGAAATATCAACCTCGTCCCGTTAATCGGTATTTGCCTCGCCAAAGGCTCGGCAATTACCGATTAACTAAGACTCGGTTGATATTTCCCATATTAAAAAACACTCGTGATGAATCCTCTATATATCAGTTACACACCATATAGTTAGAAGAATACTAGTAGCCGTGTGGCGTCATAAATATATACTTATTATCTCTAAGAGTAGGAATATATATAAAATGCTACCATGTTGTGTTAAATTATAACACATAGTTTATACATATAAATTCATTCATAAGTGAGTGATAAGATAAAGGATTTATACATACCCTGTGGGTGACACCGGGATGTGTCTATAAACCCACATCATATAGGATTATGGCATTCCTATAAAAAGTAAATAACATAACTATCATGCCTGAATACATACATACATACATACATACATACATACATACATACATACATACATACATACATACATACATACATACATACATACATACATACATACATACATACATACATACATACATACATACATACATACATACATACATACATACATACATACATGACAACCATTTCCTTAAATTATAGAAAACCAACTTCTAATTCAATCCTTACATTCAAAACTCCCAATCAAATCATGCTCTCACACATACTTACATGTTAAACACTTTATACTGATAAAATAGAAGATATCTTGATTATTTGATATCATAGGTAAGCATTTACAATATTTTACATTATTGATAACATATTTAAATGATAGGTTAGAATTCTATTTAGGAAAGGTAATGTAAATAACTAACCCGAACTATATGTAGTCCATGTCCTGTCTGTGCAGAGTTATAAGCAGAGTGAATAAAAAGTGTGCAAATGTTAGGGAGGAAAGCTGTAGTTAGATAATGTTAATCAGCTAGGAAGCTGAAAGCTATTGTATTGACAAGCTAGAGAGTTGGTGACAAAGGGACAAGAATAGACTAACCTGTCCACCCTTCAATAAAATGGACCAACCGCTTGGACTCTTAACCCAAGCATATACATTTAGTACTACAACTAATGAAGATGTATACAACTACTTGAAATGAAAAGAGCTAAAACTATATTCCTAAAAACTATATATACAATATCCTGTTACACTCAATCCAAGGATTGCTGAATACCAGGATTCGTAAATCCTTTGTTTATCCGGTGATTTCTTAATCACGTGATCGTTTATGATTGCGTAATCCTGTAAATCCGGTGATTGCTTAATCCCATTATTTCTTCATCATATGATTGATATGATACATGATGTTTGAAAACATCAACAAATCTCACACGAGATTATCCAATCACAGCTGCCATGCAGATCTCTCAATCTACATTCAGTCTTTCTCTTCGAAAGCTGCTGGCCGAACGACTGATTCGGATTTGGTGTAGTAGTAGAAATCCTGTAGGCTGGCGTCAGCACCCTCAGTCTTGCTCAGTAGAAACAAGTTTATAATATAATATCCATTCCTTCAATGAAAGTAGTGGTGATATTGTTAACAACAGAAGTAAGAACTTTACCCAAGCATCTTACAAGTGTTCATGGAAGTGGTTTGTATTTGTTTGTTAACAAAGGCTTACCCTTCTTATAAACTGTCTTAATTACACCCCATTTAACCATTTAACCATTCCAGTATGAAACATTCTATCGGACAATTTAACCTAAACGGTCATCTTTTTAAGTCTTTGAAAGGCATTTGGAAGTGATACATATAAGGGAGACGATTCATGGATGTCAACCTCTTTATTGTGAGGAACACAACGTTTCGGAGTATACGCTTACTCCTTCATCACGTGATGAATGCCATGAGGTAGAGAACATATATATATATATACATGTAAGAACAACAAAAGTAATAACATAACCAAAGGTGGGAACTTTTTTTTGCCTGATAATGCCGTTGCATGCAAGGTTAAATTTTAAATCACTCACTCACTCCATTTTTGCCCGACCCAAACCGAGCCGGCGAAACCCGTTTTTCTTTTTTGATAACATTATTCTATTATTGCTTATCTCGCAAATGTATCCTTGAGTTTCTGAATTGAACCGATTTTTATCCGAATGCATAGGGTAAAGGGAAGTAACTCATTTCGTTCACGAGGGGACACAGGCTCTCACACAGGCTACATCGCACCATATGCCCCTCGACCATAGAGATTGGTTGACAACTATTTATGTATTTAAGTGTGAATCCCGACGAGAGAGTAAAACAATAGTTTCAACAAAGGAAAAATGTTGGTGTTGGAGAAAATAATTGGAGGCCATTTCGGCCATTTCTCTTGTGCGGCAGGTAAAGTTTCCCCTGTTGTCATGGTACTGTCACTTACATCTGAGTGAGTGAGTGAGTGAGTGAGTGAGTGAGTGAGTGAGTGAGTGAGTGAGTGAGTGAGTGAGTGAGTGAGTGAGTGAGTGAGTGAGTGAGTGAGTGAGTGAGTGAGTGAGTGAGTGAGTGAGTGAGTGAGTGAGTGAGTGAGTGAGTGAGTGAGTGAGTGAGTGAGTGAGTGAGTGAGTGAGTGAGTGAGTGAGTGAGTGAGTGAGTGAGTGAGTGAGTGAGTGAGTGAGTGAGTGAGTGAGTGAGTGAGTGAGTGAGTGAGTGAGTGAGTGAGTGAGTGAGTGAGTGAGTGAGTGAGTGAGTGAGTGAGTGAGTGAGTGAGTGAGTGAGTGAGTGAGTGAGTGAGTGAGTGAGTGAGTGAGTGAGTGAGTGAGTGAGTGAGTGAGTGAGTGAGTGAGTGAGTGAGTGAGTGAGTGAGTGAGTGAGTGAGTGAGTGAGTGAGTGAGTGAGTGAGTGAGTGAGTGAGTGAGTGAGTGAGTGAGTGAGTGAGTGAGTGAGTGAGGGAGGGAGGGAGGGAGGGAGGGAGGGAGGGAGTGGGCGAGTGAGTGAGTGAGTGAGTGAGTGAGTGAGTGAGTGAGTGAGTGAGGGAGGGAGGGAGGGAGGGAGGGAGGGAGGGAGGGAGGGAGGGAGTGGGCGAGTGAGCGAGTGAGGGAGTGAGTGAGTGAGTGAGTGAGTGCGAGAGAGAGAGAGAGTGAGGAGGGAGGGAGTGAGGGAGGGAGGGAGGGAGTGGGCGAGCGAGTTGGGTTTAACGCCGCTTTTAACAGTATGACATGAGAGGGATGTAGAGGGGAATTCCCTATAATAATATTGTAGGGAATTCCCCTCTACATCCATGTATGTTGCTATTCGGAGCTGTAGGGCATATACACCGAACCTACGCATTCAATCCCGACACTTACACGACAGAATCCATGTTAAACATATTAGTCAAGCATGTTTGATGTCAATTACAAGAAACATTATTAACAAGTTCAATATTACTTCGTTCTCCAAGTTGTGTGAGATTCCCTGGACTTGGCGCACACTTCCGATAACTGCCTTCGATAAAAAAACATTTTTGTCTCATCAGCCACATGGGTATACCAGGTTCACGGTCACAAGATAGATACACTTCTACTTTGCAATATCCTCAGATACAAGAGTTACTTATAACTTCCGACTGCAGTTGACATTAATGAAAAGCAACAAGTGCTAAACATTGTCTACAACAGTATTGTCATGTGACTCTCGGGAGTGTCTTTGAAACTAAAGACAAATTCATGTTGGCTCAGTGACGTGGCTGGTTAGGTGTCAGTGAGGTGTGTTAGAGGGTCAGGTGTGTATCGGTGACGTGGCTGTTTGTGTGTGAGTGAGGTGTGTTAGAGGGTCGGGCGTGTAGGGTCGGTGGCGTGGCTGGTTGTGTGTGAGTGAGGTGTGTTAGAAGGTCAGGTGTGTGACGGTGACGTGGCTGTTTGTGTGTGAGTGAGGTGTGTTAGAGGGTCGGGTGTGTATCGGTGACGTGGCTGTTTGTGTGTGAGTGAAGTGTGTTAGAGGGTCGGGTGTGTATCGGTGACGTGGCTGGTTGTGTGTGAGTAAGGTGTGTTAGAGGGTCGGGTGTGTATCGGTGGCGTCGCTGGTTGTGTGTGAGTAAGGTGTGTTAGAGGGTCGGGCGTGTATCGGTGACGTGGCTGGTTGTGTGTGAGTAAGGTGTGTTAGAGGGTCGGGTGTGTATCGGTGGCGTGGCTGGTTGTGTGTGAGTGGGGTGTGTTAGAGGGTCGGGTGTGTGACGGTAACGTGGCTGGTTGTGTGTGAGTAAGGTGTGTTAGAGGGTCGGGTGTGTATCGGTGACGTGGCTGGTTGTGTGTGAGTAAGGTGTGTTAGAGGGTCGGGCGTGTATCGGTGACGTGGCTGTTTGTGTGTGAGTAAGGTGTGTTAGAGGGTCGGGTGTGTATCGGTGACGTGGCTGGTTGTGTGTGAGTAAGGTGTGTTAGAGGGTCGGGCGTGTAGGGACGGTGACGTGGCTGGTTGTGTGTGAGTAAGGTGTGTTAGAGGGTCGGGTGTGTATCGGTGACGTGGCTGGTTGTGTGTGAGTAAGGTGTGTTAGAGGGTCAGCTGTGTATCGGTGACGTGGCTGGTTGTGTGTGAGTAAGGTGTGTTAGAGGGTCAGCTGTGTATCGGTGACGTGGCTGGTTGTGTGTGAGTAAGGTGTGTTAGAGGGTCAGCTGTGTATCGGTGACGTGGCTGGTTGTGTGTGAGTGAGGTGTGTTAGAGGGTCGGGCGTGTAGGGTCGGTGGCGTGGCTGGTTGTGTGTGAGTGAGGTGTGTTAGAGGGTCGGGCGTGTAGGGTCGGTGGCGTGGCTGGTTGTGTGTGAGTGAGGTGTGTTAGAGGGTCGGGCGTGTAGGGTCGGTGACGTGACTGGTTGTGTGTGAGTGAGGTGTGTTAGAGGGTCGGGCGTGTAGGGTCGGTGACGTGACTGGTTGTGTGTGAGTGAGGTGTGTTAGAGGGTTAGCTGTGTATCGGTGACGTGGCTGGTTGTGTGTGAGTATGGTGTGTTAGAGGGTCGGGTGTGTATCGGTGGCGTGGCTGGTTGTGTGTGAGTAAGGTGTGTTAGAGGGTCGGGCGTGTAGGGTCGGTGACGTGACTGGTTGTGTGTGAGTGAGGTGTGTTAGAGGGTCGGGCGTGTAGGGTCGGTGACGTGACTGGTTGTGTGTGAGTAAGGTGTGTTAGAGGGTCGGGTGTGTATCGGTGACGTGGCTGGTTGTGTGTGAGTAAGGTGTGTTAGAGGGTCGGGTGTGTATCGGTGGCTAGGCTGGTTGTGTGTGAGTATGGTGTGTTAGAGGGCCGGGTGTGTGACGGTGACGTGGCTGGTTGTGTGTGAGTAAGGTGTGTTAGAGGGTCAGCTGTGTATCGGTGGCGTGGCTGGTTGTGTGTGAGTAAGGTGTGTTAGAGGGTCAGCTGTGTATCGGTGACGTGGCTGGTTGTGTGTGAGTAAGGTGTGTTAGAGGGTCGGGTGTGTATCGGTGGCGTGGCTGGTTGTGTGTGAGTAAGGTGTGTTAGAGGGTCAGCTGTGTATCGGTGACGTGGCTGGTTGTGTGTGAGTAAGGTGTGTTAGAGGGTCGGGTGTGTAGGGTCGGTGGCGTGACTGGTTGTGTGTGAGTGGGGTGTGTTAGAGGGTCGGGTGTGTGACGGTAACGTGGCTGGTTGTGTGTGAGTAAGGTGTGTTAGAGGGTCGGGTGTGTATCGGTGACGTGGCTGGTTGTGTGTGAGTAAGGTGTGTTAGAGGGTCGGGTGTGTAGGGTCGGTGGCGTGACTGGTTGTGTGTGAGTGGGGTGTGTTAGAGGGTCGGGTGTGTGAAGGTGACGTGGCTGGTTGTGTGTGAGTAAGGTGTGTTAAAGGGTCAGGTGGTCAGTATGGTTAACCTTGGCTGGTTGCGTGTGAGTTGTGTGTACCTTTAAATTGCTGACGGAGGCGTTAAACTACATTTATTCACTAACTACAACAAGCTTTCAATTTTTAACGGATGAGGGAGACAATCTGTGTGGAGTTGGGCAGAAGCAATAATACAGGCAATTATATGACTCAATCACGCAGGAGGAAGGATCCGGTACTTCCCTGTTGTGTCTAAATTAATTGAACTTCCTGATTGAAGCACCAGCCATTGTCATCGTCACAATGGTCATGTGATCGTGTCACTGGTGCGGGATCTCCTTGTCGGTGTATGGACCCGGGCTGGCGTCATATCGCGGAACTGTTTATACAGTAATAGGAGATGCTGCTTTTAAATTCTTCATTGAAAAAAAATCCAGACGTTGATAACAAAACAACATGGGATTGGTGACGTGTTTCTATAAATAGCTACATTCATATTCAAGCACCCGACTTCCTCGCTTGACAAAGGCAGCGGGAGGTCACGTGCAAGTGGGCGTGGTCGAGCTGGAAACACAGACTTGTGCGAGAATTGAAATAAAATCTTACTTGGCGACCCGACACTATGCTTCGCCTGGTCTACGCTCTTGCTTGTCTTGCGGTTGTTGATGGTACGTGTGTTTTAACATATTATGAAATGTTCAGGTTTTATATTGATGCGCTTCATAGTAAAATAGTCAAGTAACAAAGCTTCCAATAATTGTGTCTGTCACAGATGCCTGTAGATAATTGTGTCTGTCACAGATGCCTGTAGATAATTGTGTCTGTCAAAGGTGCCTGTAGATAAGTGTGTCTGTCAAAGGTGTCTGTAGATAATTGTGTCTATCACAGATGCCTGTAGATTATTGTGTCTATCACAGATGCATGTAGATAATTGTGCCTGTCACAGGTGCCTGTACATTAATGTGTGTGTCATAGGTGCCTGTAGATACTTGTGTCTGTCACAGATGCCTGTAGATACTTGTGTCTGTCACAGGTGCCTGCAGATAATTGTGTCTGTCTCAGGTGCCTCTAGATAATTGTGTCTGTCACAGGTGCCTGTAGATAAATGTGTCTGTCACAGGTGCCTGTAGATAATTGTGTCTGTCACAGGTGTCTGTAGATAATTGTGTCTGTCACAGGTGCCTGTAGATAATTGTGTCTGTCACAGGTGCCTGTAGGCAATTGTGTCTGTCACAGGTGCCTGTAGATAATTGTGTCTGTCACAGGTGCCTGTAGATAAGTGTGTCTGTCACAGGTTCCTGTAGATAACCGAGTTTGTCACAGCTGCCGATAGATAATCACAGTCACAGCGGTAGTCACGTACTACGGCAGTAGAGTGATTGGGACGCTGTGCTAACCCGGATCCTGGTCGTTCCAGTTACTTGTGCCGAGTGTACTTGACATCACGTGGATTTCACCTCCTGTGACAGGACGCCTGTGAGTGAGTGATTGATTGAGTGAGTGTGGTTTTACGCCGCTTTTAGCAATATTCCAGCAATATCACGGCGGGGGACACCAGAAATGGGCTTCACAGACTGTACCCATGTCGGGAATCGAACCAGGGTCTTCGGTGTGACGAGCGAACGCTTAAACCACTAGGCTATCCCACCGCCCTCTATGAAAGTGAGCTCCAGTGATTATATACCATGTTGATACATTGAAGCAGGCCGAGTTCTTGTACCTACAGGTGCCTGCCATGGGTCCCACACGTATCACGCCCGGGGCACCGCCTACTTCCCGTCCAATGACCCCATTGAAGGAGGGTTCGTGGACATGCGCGGTGCACCACTCCGCACTCTACAGGTGAAGCAAGTATAACATCGCTGGGTTGGTGAAGGGTTGCTAGGTTGGTGAAGGGTTGCTGGGTTGGTGGAGGGTTGCTGGGTTGGTGGAGGGGTGCTGGGTTGGTGGAGGGGTGCTGGGTTGGTGGAGGGGTGCTGGGTTGGTGGAGGGTTGCTGGGTTGGTGGAGGGGTGCTGGGTTGGTGAAGGGTTGCTGGGTTGGTGGAGGGGTGCTGGGTTGGTGGAGGGGTGCTGGGTTGGTGGAGGGTTGCTGGGTTGGTGGAGGGGTGCTGGGTTGGTGGAGGGTTGCTGGGTTGGTGGAGGGTTGCTGGGTTGGTGGAGGGGTGCTGGGTTGGTGGAGGGGTGCTGGGTTGGTGGAGGGTTGCTGGGTTGGTGGAGGGGTGCTGGGTTGGTGGAGGGTTGCTGGGTTGGTGGAGGGTTGCTGGGTTGGTGGAGGGGTGCTGGGTTGGTGGAGGGCTGCTGGGTTGGTGGAGGGCTGCTGGGTTGGTGGTTGTGTGAGTGAGTGAGTGAGTGAGTGAGTTATTGAAGGGTTGCTGGGTTGATGGTTCCTCGAGTGAATTGGTGGAGGGTTGCTGGGTTGGTGGAGGGTTGCTGGGTTGGTGGAGGGTTGCTGGGTGGTGGTTGTGCGAGTGAGTGAGTTAGCGAAGGGTTGCTGGGTTGGTGGTTGTACGAGTGATTGAGTTAGGGAAGGGTTGCTGGGTGGTGGTTGTGCGAGTGAGTGAGTTAGCGAAGGGTTGCTGGGTTGGTGGTTGTACGAGTGATTGAGTTAGGGAAGGGTTGCTGGGTGGTGGTTGTACGAGGAAGTGAGTTAGCGAAGGGTTGCTGGGTGGTGATTGTGCGAGTGAGTGAGTTAGCGAAGGGTTGCTGGGTTGGTGGTTGTACGAGTGATTGAGTTAGGGAAGGGTTGCTGGGTGGTGGTTGTGCGAGTGAGTGAGTTAGCGAAGGGTTGCTGGGTTGGTGGTTGTGCGAGTGATTGAGTTAGGGAAGGGTTGCTGGGTGGTGGTTGTGCGAGTGAGTGAGTTAGCGAAGGGTTGCTGGGTTGGTGGTTGTACGAGTGATTGAGTTAGCGAAGGGTTGCTGGGTGGTGGTTGTGCGAGTGATTGAGTTAGCGAAGGGTCGCTGGGTGGGTGGTTGTGCGAGTGATTGAGTTAGCGAAGGGTTGCTGGGTGGTGGTTGTGCGAGTGATTGAGTTAGCGAAGGGTTGCTGGGTGGTGGTTGTGCGAGTGATTGAGTTAGCGAAGGGTTGCTGGGTTGGTGGTTGCGCGAGTGAATTGGTGGAGGGTTGCTGTGTTGGTGGAGGGTTGCTGGGTCGGTGGTTGTGCGAGGAAGTGAGTTAGCGAAGGGTCGCTGGGTGGGTGGTTGTGCGAGTGATTGAGTTAGCGAAGGGTTGCTGGGTGGTGGTTGTGCGAGTGATTGAGTTAGCGAAGGGTTGCTGGGTGGTGGTTGTGCGAGTGATTGAGTTAGCGAAGGGTTGCTGGGTGGTGATTGTGCGAGTGATTGAGTTAGCGAAGGGTTGCTGGGTGGGTGGTTGTACGAGTGAGTGAGTTAGCGAAGGGTTGCTGGGTGGTGGTTGTGCGAGTGATTGAGTTAGCGAAGGGTTGCTGGGTGGTGGTTGTGCGAGTGATTGAGTTAGCGAAGGGTTGCTGGGTGGTGGTTGTGCGAGTGATTGAGTTAGGGAAGGGTTGCTGGATGGATGGTTGTGCGAGTGAGTGCGTTGGAGAGGAAGGGTTGCTGGGTGGTGGTTGTGCGAGTGATTGAGTTAGCGAAGGGTTGCTGGGTGGTGGTTGTGCGAGTGATTGAGTTAGCGAAGGGTTGCTGGGTGGGTGGTTGTACGAGTGAGTGAGTTAGCGAAGGGTTGCTGGGTGGTGGTTGTGCGAGTGATTAAGTTAGGGAAGGGTTGCTGAGTGGATGGTTGTGCGAGTGAGTGCGTTGGAGAGGAAGGGTTGCTGGGTGGATGGTTGTACGAGTAAGTGAGTTAGCGAAGGGTTGCTGGGTGGATGGTTATGTGAGTGAGTGAGTTAGAGAGAAAGTGTTGATTGGTGATGGCTGTACGAGTGAGTGAGATAGCGAAGGGTTGCTGGGTGGGTGGTTGTTATGTAAGTGAGTAAGCAAAGGGTTGCTGGGTGGGTGGTGGTTATGTGAGTGAGTTAGTGAAGGGTTGCTGTTGGGTTTTTCATGTGAGTGAGTTAGCGAAGGGTTGCTGTTGGTTGTTGGTTATGTGAGTGAGTTAAGTGAGTGAAGTAACGAAGGGTTGCTGTTGGGTGGGTGGTTGTACGAGTGAGTGAGTTAGCGAAGGGTTGCTGGGTGGTGGTTATGCGAGTGATTGAGTTAGCGAAGGGTTGCTGGGTGGTGGTTGTGCGAGTGAGTGAGTTAGCGAAGGGTTGCTGGGTGGTGGTTGTGCGAGTGATTGAGTTAGGGAAGGGTTGCTGGGTGGTGGTTGTGCGTGTGATTGAGTTAGCGAAGGGTTGCTGGGTGGGTGGTTGTACGAGTGAGTGAGTTAGCGAAGGGTTGCTGGGTGGTGGTTGTGCGAGTGATTGAGTTAGGGAAGGGTTGCTGGGTGGATGGTGGTGCGAGTGAGTGCGTTGGAGAGGAAGGGTTGCTGGGTGGTGGTTGTGCGAGTGATTGAGTTAGCGAAGGGTTGCTGGGTGGTGGTTGTGCGAGTGATTGAGTTAGCGAAGGGTTGCTGGGTGGTGGTTGTGCGAGTGATTGAGTTAGCGAAGGGTTGCTGGGTGGGTGGTTGTACGAGTGAGTGAGTTAGCGAAGGGTTGCTGGGTGGTGGTTGTGCGAGTGATTAAGTTAGGGAAGGGTTGCTGGGTGGATGGTTGTGCGAGTGAGTGCGTTGGAGAGGAAGGGTTGCTGGGTGGATGGTTGTACGAGTAAGTGAGTTAGCGAAGGGTTGCTGGGTGGATGGTTATGTGAGTGAGTGAGTTAGAGAGAAAGTGTTGATTGGTGATGGCTGTACGAGTGAGTGAGTTAGCGAAGGGTTGCTGGGTGGGTGGTTGTTATGTAAGTGAGTAAGCAAAGGGTTGCTGGGTGGGTGGTGGTTATGTGAGTGAGTTAGTGAAGGGTTGCTGTTGGGTTTTTCATGTGAGTGAGTTAGCGAAGGGTTGCTGTTGGTTGTTGGTTATGTGAGTGAGTTAAGTGAGTGAAGTAACGAAGGGTTGCTGTTGGGTGGTGGTTATGTGAGTGAGTAAGCGAAGGGTTGCTGGGTTGGTGGCTGCATGATAGAGTGAGTTAGCGAAGGGTTGCTGGGTGGGTGGTGGTTATGTGAGTGAGTTAGCGAAGGGTTGCTGTTGGGATTGTCGTGTGAGTGAGTTAGCGAAGGGTTGCTGTTTGTTGGTGGTTATGTGAGTGAGTTAGCGAAGGGTTGCTGGGTGGGTGGTGGTTATGTGAGTGAGTTAGCGAAGGGTTGCTGTTGGGTTTGTCGTGTGAGTGAGTTAGCGAAGGGTTGCTGGGTGGGTGGTGGTTATTTGAGTGGGTAAGGGAAGGGTTGCTGGGTTGGTGGCTGTATGATAGAGTGAGTTAGCGAAGGGTTGCTGGGTGGGTGGTGATTATGTGAGTGAGTTAGTGAAGGGTTGCTGTTGGGTTTTTCATGTGAGTGAGTTAGCGAAGGGTTGCTGTTGGTTGTTGGTTATGTGAGTGAGTTAAGTGAGTGAAGTAACGAAGGGTTGCTGTTGGGTGGTGGTTATGTGAGTGAGTAAGCGAAGGGTTGCTGGGTTGGTGGCTGCATGATAGAGTGAGTTAGCGAAGGGTTGCTGGGTGGGTGGTGGTTATGTGAGTTAGTTAGCGAAGGGTTGCTGTTGGGATTGTCGTGTGAGTGAGTTAGCGAAGGGTTGCTGTTTGTTGGTGGTTATGTGAGTGAGTTAGCGAAGGGTTGCTGTTGGGTTTGTCGTGTGAGTGAGTTAGCGAAGGGTTGCTGTTGGGTGGTGTTTATGTGAGTGAGTAAGCAAAGGGTTGCTGGGTTGGTGGCTGTATGATAGAGTAAGTAAGCGAAGGTTTGCTGGGTGGGTGGTGGTTATGTGAGTGAGTTAGCGAAGGGTTTGATGGGTGGTGGTTGTGCTAGTGATTGAGTTAGCGAAGGGTTGCTGGGTGGGTGGTGGTTATGTGAGTGAGTTAGCGAAGGGTTGCTGTTGGGTTTGTCATGTGAGTGAGTTAGCGAAGGGTTGCTGTTGGTTGGTGGTTATGTGAGTGAGTCAGCGAAGGGTTGCTGTTGGGTTTGTCGTGTGAGTGAGTTAGCGAAGGGTTGCTGGGTGGGTGGTGGTTGTGCGAGTGATTGAGTTAGCGAAGGGTTGCTGTTAGGTGGTGGTTATGTGAGTGAGTAAGCGAAGGGTTGCTGGGTTGGTGGCTGCATGATAGAGTGAGTTAGCGAAGGGTTGCTGGGTGGGTGGTGGTTATGTGAGTGAGTTAGCAAAGGGTTGCTGTTAGGTTTGTCGTGTGAGTGAGTTAGCGAAGGGTTGCTGGGTGGGTGGTGGTTATGTGAGTGAGTTAGCGAAGGGTTGCTGGGTGGGTGGTGGTTATGTGAGTGAGTTAGCGAAGGGTTGCTGTTGGGTTTGTCGTGTGAGTGAGTTAGCGAAGGGTTGCTGGGTGGGTCGTGGTTATTTGAGTGGGTAAGGGAAGGGTTGCTGGGTTGGTGGCTGTATGATAGAGTGAGTTAACAAAGGGTTGCTGGGTGGGTGGTGGTTATGTGAGTGAGTTAGCAAAGGGTTTCTGTTGGGTGGTGGTTATGTGACTGAGTTAGCGAAGGGTTGCTGGGTGGGTGGTGGTTATATGAGTGAGTTAGCAAAGGGTTGCTGGGTGGTGGTTATGCGAGTGATTGAGTTAGCGAAGGGTTGCTGGGTGGGTGGTGGTTATGTGAGTGAGTTAGCGAAGGGTTGCTGTTGGGTTTGTCGTGTGAGTGAGTTAGCGAAGGGTTGCTGGGTGGGTGGTGGTTATGTGAGTGAGTTAGCGAAGGGTTGCTGTTGGGTTTGTCGTGTGAGTGAGTTAGCGAAGGGTTGCTGGGTGGGTGGTGGTTATTTGAGTGGGTAAGCGAAGGGTTGCTGGGTTGGTGGCTGTATGATAGAGTGAGTTAGCAAAGGGTTGCTGGGTGGGTGGTGGTTATGTGAGTGAGTTAGCAAAGGGTTTCTGTTGGGTGGTGGTTATGTGAGTGAGTTAGCGAAGGGTTGCTGGGTGGGTGGTGATTATGTGAGTGAGTTAGCGAAGGGTTGCTGGGTGGTGGTTATGCGAGTGATTGAGTTAGCGAAGGGTTGCTGGGTGGGTGGTGGTTATGTGAGTGAGTTAGCGAAGGGTTGCTGTTGGGTTTGTCGTGTGAGTGAGTTAGCGAAGGGTTGCTGGGTGGGTGGTGGTTATTTGAGTGGGTAAGCGAAGGGTTGCTGGGTTGGTGGCTTTATGATAGAGTGAGTTAACGAAGGGTTGCTGGGTGGGTGGTGGTTATGTGAGTGAGTTAGCGAAGGGTTGCTGTTGGGATTGTCGTGTGAGTGAGTTAGCGAAGGGTTGCTGTTTGTTGGTGGTTATGTGAGTGAGTTAGCGAAGGGTTGCTGTTGGGTTTGTCGTGTGAGTGAGTTAGCGAAGGGTTGCTGTTGGGTGGTGGTTATGTGAGTGAGTAAGCAAAGGGTTGCTGGGTTGGTGGCTGTATGATAGAGTAAGTAAGCGAAGGTTTGCTGGGTGGGTGGTGGTTATGTGAGTGAGTTAGCGAAGGGTTTGATGGGTGGTGGTTGTGCGAGTGATTGAGTTAGCGAAGGGTTGCTGGGTGGGTGGTGGTTATGTGAGTGAGTTAGCGAAGGGTTGCTGTTGGGTTTGTCATGTGAGTGAGTTAGCGAAGGGTTGCTGTTGGTTGGTGGTTATGTGAGTGAGTTAGCGAAGGGTTGCTGTTGGGTTTGTCGTGTGAGTGAGTTAGCGAAGGGTTGCTGGGTGGGTGGTGGTTGTGCGAGTGATTGAGTTAGCGAAGGGTTGCTGTTAGGTGGTGGTTATGTGAGTGAGTAAGCGAAGGGTTGCTGGGTTGGTGGCTGCATGATAGAGTGAGTTAGCGAAGGGTTGCTGGGTGGGTGGTGGTTATGTGAGTGAGTTAGCAAAGGGTTGCTGTTGGGTTTGTCGTGTGAGTGAGTTAGCGAAGGGTTGCTGGGTGGGTGGTGGTTATGTGAGTGAGTTAGCGAAGGGTTGCTGGGTGGGTGGTGGTTATGTGAGTGAGTTAGCGAAGGGTTGCTGTTGGGTTTGTCGTGTGAGTGAGTTAGCGAAGGGTTGCTGGGTGGGTGGTGGTTATTTGAGTGGGTAAGGGAAGGGTTGCTGGGTTGGTGGCTGTATGATAGAGTGAGTTAACGAAGGGTTGCTGGGTGGGTGGTGGTTATGTGAGTGAGTTAGCAAAGGGTTTCTGTTGGGTGGTGGTTATGTGACTGAGTTAGCGAAGGGTTGCTGGGTGGGTGGTGATTATGTGAGTGAGTTAGCGAAGGGTTGCTGGGTGGGTGGTGGTTATGTGAGTGAGTTAACAAAGGGTTGCTGTTGGGTGGTGGTTATGCGAGTGATTGAGTTAGCGAAGGGTTGCTGGGTGGGTGGTGGTTATGTGAGTGAGTTAGCGAAGGGTTGCTGTTGGGTTTGTCGTGTGAGTGAGTTAGCGAAGGGTTGCTGGGTGGGTGGTGGTTATGTGAGTGAGTTAGCGAAGGGTTGCTGTTGGGTTTGTCGTGTGAGTGAGTTAGCGAAGGGTTGCTGGGTGGGTGGTGGTTATTTGAGTGGGTAAGCGAAGGGTTGCTGGGTTGGTGGCTGTATGATAGAGTGAGTTAACGAAGGGTTGCTGTTGGGTGGTGGTTATGCGAGTGATTGAGTTAGCGAAGGGTTGCTGGGTGGGTGGTGGTTATGTGAGTGAGTTAGCGAAGGGTTGCTGTTGGGTTTGTCGTGTGAGTGAGTTAGCGAAGGGTTGCTGGGTGGGTGGTGGTTATGTGAGTGAGTTAGCGAAGGGTTGCTGTTGGGTTTGTCGTGTGAGTGAGTTAGCGAAGGGTTGCTGGGTGGGTGGTGGTTATTTGAGTGGGTAAGCGAAGGGTTGCTGGGTTGGTGGCTGTATGATAGAGTGAGTTAACGAAGGGTTGCTGGGTGGGTGGTGGTTATGTGAGTGAGTTAGCAAAGGGTTTCTGTTGGGTGGTGGTTATGTGACTGAGTTAGCGAAGGGTTGCTGAGTGGGTGGTGATTATGTGAGTGAGTTAGCGAAGGGTTGCTGGGTGGTGGTTATGCGAGTGATTGAGTTAGCGAAGGGTTGCTGGGTGGGTGGTGGTTATGTGAGTGAGTTAGCGAAGGGTTGCTGTTGGGTTTGTCGTGTGAGTGAGTTAGCGAAGGGGTGCTGGGTGGGTGGTGGTTATTTGAGTGGGTAAGCGAAGGGTTGCTGGGTTGGTGGCTGTATGATAGAGTGAGTTAACGAAGGGTTGCTGGGTGGGTGGTGGTTATGTGAGTGAGTTAGCAAAGGGTTTCTGTTGGGTGGTGGTTATGTGACTGAGTTAGCGAAGGGTTGCTGGGTGGGTGGTGATTATGTGAGTGAGTTAGCGAAGGGTTGCTGGGTGGGTGGTGGTTATGTGAGTGAGTTAGCGAAGGGTTGCTGTTGGGTTTGTCGTGTGAGTGAGTTAGCGAAGGGTTGCTGGGTGGGTGGTGGTTATTTGAGTGGGTAAGCGAAGGGTTGCTGGGTTGGTGGCTGTATGATAGAGTGAGTTAACGAAGGGTTGCTGGGTGGGTGGTGGTTATGTGAGTGAGTTAGCAAAGGGTTTCTGTTGGGTGGTGGTTATGTGACTGAGTTAGCGAAGGGTTGCTGAGTGGGTGGTGATTATGTGAGTGAGTTAGCGAAGGGTTGCTGGGTGGTGGTTATGCGAGTGATTGAGTTAGCGAAGGGTTGCTGGGTGGGTGGTGGTTATGTGAGTGAGTTAGCGAAGGGTTGCTGTTGGGTTTGTCGTGTGAGTGAGTTAGCGAAGGGTTGCTGGGTGGGTGGTGGTTATGTGAGTGAGTTAGCGAAGGGTTGCTGGGTGGGTGGTGGTTATGTGAGTGAGTTAACGAAGGGTTGCTGGGTGGGTGGTGGTTATGTGAGTGAGTTGACGAAGGGTTGCTGGGTGGGTGGTGGTTATGTGAGTGAGTTAGCAAAGGGTTGCTGGGTGGGTGGTGGTTATTTGAGTGAGTTAACGAAGGGTTGCTGGGTGGGTGGTGGTTATGTGAGTGAGTTGACGAAGGGTTGCTGGGTGGGTGGTGGTTATGTGAGTGAGTTAGCGAAGGGTTGCTGGGTGGGTGGTTGTTATGTGAGTGAGTTAACGAAGGGTTGCTGGGTGGGTGGTGGTTATGTGAGTGAGTTAACGAAGGGTTGCTGGGTGGGTGGTGGTTATGTGAGTGAGTTAGCAAAGGGTTTCCTGTTGGGTGGTGGTTATGTGAGTGAGATAGCGAAGGGTTGCTGTTGGGTGGTGGTTATGTGAGTGAGTTAGCGAAGGGTTGCTGTTGGGTTTGTCGTGTGAGTGATTTAGCGAAGGGTTGCTGTTGGGTGGGTGGTGGTTATGTGAGTGAGTTAGCGAAGGGTTGCTGTTGGGTGGTGGTTATGTGAGTGAGTTAACGAAGGGTTGCTGTTGGGTGGGTGGTGGTTATGTGAGTGAGTTAGCGAAAGGGTTGCTGGGTGGGTGGTGGTTATGTGAGTGAGTTAACGAAGGGTTGCTGTTGGGTGGGTGGTGGTTATGTGAGTGAGTTAACGAAGGGTTGCTGTTGGGTGGTGGTTATGTGAGTGAGTTAGCGAAAGGGTTGCTGGGTGGGTGGTGGTTATGTGAGTGAGTTAGCGAAGGGTTGCTGTTGGGTGGTGGTTATGTGAGTGAGTAAGCGAAGGGTTGCTGTTGGGTGGTGGTTATGTGATTGAGTTAGCGAAGGGTTTGATGGGTGGTGGTTGTGCGAGTGATTGAGTTAACGAAGGGTTGCTGGTGGTGTTTGTGCGAGTCAGTGAGTTAGCGAAGGGTTGCTGGTGGTGTTTGTGTGAGTGAGTGAGTTAGCGAAGGGTTAAAGACTGACTGACGGACTCATTCTATATATATGGATGTATTTCTTGTCAGGATTTCTTGGAAGGCCGCGCCTTGAATGTTAGCGTTGCCATGGACAACCGTGCGGGAATCCTCTACGGAACCCCCATTTGTATCCCCGAGATGAACAAGAAGTACAAGAAGGACATTCTGTTCAAGGTGAGGTGTGATGTTTGACTCGATCGACACCGACTCGAACTTCGGCCTCTTAAGTATGCTTCAGCTTCATCAGTATGTTCAGGTTCCGCTTTGTCGAGGTTCCGCTTTGTCGAGATGTCATTATATGGACTCGTTATGGTTGTTTTCTTCAGATGGTTGACACCGGAAGTGCTTTCGTCGGCAAGAACCACAGTCGCATAGATATCTGCGTGCGCACCCGCAAAGAAACGTACGACGAGACGATCAATGGACCGCTGACTCTGGTGTTCCCGTGATTTATTGTGACCGAAATAAAAGCTGATATGAATATTCGAAAGGTTGTTGTAAAGGTTAGAGCATCTTGATGTCATTCCGTGGTTAAATGATTACGTCATTAAGAAGGGAAAGAAATACAACGTGTTAGAATAGTTCCCCGGTGACCTGGCGAACCTGTATGTAAACTGCCCTGTAGGTGAAAGTGGACCTGGCGAACCTGTAGGCAAACTCCCTGTGGGCGAAAGTAGACCTGGCGAACCTGTAGGCGAACTCCCTGTGGGCGAAAGTAGACCTGGCCGTCCATGGCAAGCTATGCTGAAATGTATCGGGTACTGGGGGACGGTGTCTGGAGTCAGGGTCTGTGTCACGAGTCAGGGTCTGTGTCTGGAGTCAGGGTCGGTCTCTGGAGTCAGGGTTTATGTATGGAGTCAGGGTCTGTGTCTGGAGTCAGGGTTTATGTCTGGAGTCAGGGTCTGTGTCTGGAGTCAGGGTCTGTGTCTGGAGTCAGGGTTTATGTCTGGAGTCAGGGTCTGTGTCTGGAGTCTGGTGTCAGGGTCTGTGTCTGGAGTCAGGGTTTATGTCTGGAGTCAGGGTCTGTGTCTGGAGTCTGGAGTCAGGGTCTGTGTCTGGAGTCAGGGTTTATGTCTGGAGTCAGGGTCTGTGTCTGGAGTCAGGGTCTATGTATGGAGTCAGGGTCTGTGTCTGGAGTCAGGGTCTATGTATGGAGTCAGGGTCTGTGTCTGGAGTCAGGGTTTATGTCTGGTGTCAGGGTCTGTGTCTGGAGTCAGGGTTTATGTCTGGAGTCAGGGTCTGTGTCTGGAGTCTGGAGTCAGGGTCTGTGTCTGGAGTCAGGGTTTATGTCTGGAGTCAGGGTCTGTGTCTGGAGTCAGGGTTTATGTCTGGAGTCAGGGTCTGTGTCTGGAGTCAGGGTTTATGTCTGGAGTCAGGGTCTGTGTCTGGAGTCAGGGTTTATGTATGGAGTCAGGGTCTGTGTCTGGAGTCAGGGTTTATGTCTGGAGTCAGGGTCTGTGTCTGGAGTCAGGGTCTGTGTCTTGAGTCTGGAGTCAGGGTCTGTGTCTGGAGTCAGGGTCTGTGTCTGGAGTCAGGGTTTATGTCTGGAGTCAGGGTCTGTGTCTGGAGTCTGGAGTCAGGGTCTGTGTCTGGAGTCAGGGTTTATGTCTGGAGTCAGGGTCTGTGTCTGGAGTCAGGGTTTATGTATGGAGTCAGGGTCTGTGTCTGGAGTCTGGAGTCAGGGTCTGTGTCTGGAGTCAGGGTTTATGTCTGGAGTCAGGGTCTGTGTCTGGAGTCAGGGTTTATGTATGGAGTCAGGGTCTGTGTCTGGAGTAAGGGTTTATGTCTGGAGTCAGGGTCTGTGTCTGGAGTCAGGGTTTATGTCTGGAGTCAGGGTCTGTGTCTGGAGTCAGGGTTTATGTCTGGTGTCAGGGTCGGTCTCTGGAGTCAGGGTCTGTGTCTGGAGTCTGGTGTCAGGGTCTGTGTCTGGAGTCAGGGTTTATGTCTGGAGTCAGGGTCTGTGTCTGGAATCTGGAGTCAGGGTTTATGTCTGGTGTCAGGGTCTGTGTCTGGAGCCAGGGTTTATGTCTGGTGTCAGGGTCTGTGTCTGGAGTCAGGGTTTATGTCTGGAGTCAGGGTCTGTGTCTGGAGTCTGGAGTCAGGGTCTGTGTCTGGAGTCAGGGTTTATGTCTGGAGTCAGGGTTTATGTCTTGAGTCAGGGTTTATGTCTGGAGTCAGGGTCTGTGTCTGGAGTCTGGAGTCAGGGTCTGTGTCTGGAGTCAGGGTTTATGTCTGGAGTCAGGGTCTGTGTCTGGAGTCAGGGTCTGTGTCTGGAGTCTGGAGTCAGGGTCTGTGTCTGGAGTCTGGAGTCAGGGTCTATGTCTGGAGTCAGGGTCGGTCTCTGGAGTCAGGGTTTATGTCTGGAGTCAGGGTCTGTGTCTGGAGTCAGGGTTTATGTCTGGAGTCTGGAGTCAGGGTCTGTGTCTGGAGTCAGGGTTTATGTCTGGAGTCAGGGTCTGTGTCTGGAGTCTGGAGTCAGGGTCTGTGTCTGGAGTCAGGGTTTATGTCTGGTGTCAGGGTCTGTGTCTGGAGTCAGGGTTTATGTCTGGAGTCAGGGTTTATGTCTGGAGTCAGGGTCTGTGACAGGAGTCAGGGTTTGTGTCTAGAGTCAGGGTCTGTGTATTGAGTCAGGGTCTGTGGCTGGAGTGGGGGTCGGCGTCTGGCGTCAGGGACTGTGTCTGGAGTCAGGGTCTGGGACTGGAGTCAGGGTCTGTGTCTGGAGTCAGGGTCTGTGTGTGGAGTCAGGGTCTGTTAGTGAAAAGGGCTTTTCATGTTGAGGTACTGAACCCGCCCTGTTGAACGAACGCATGAACCTCTAGGCTGCCCCACATAAGACAAACTGGAAGAACACGAGATAAACCACACAAAACAACGGCGCCTTTATCACGGTGGTAGATATACATGTTACTGGGCTGACCGGATGTGACGTGGCGGTCAGGGGAAGACAAGGGTGAGATGGCCGTTGATGGTGGAGTCGTAAGAGTTGGCCTGGGAGCTGACGCAGATGTCAATACGGCCGTGACCTTTACCAGAGAAGGCCGACCCTGTGTCCACAACCTGCAGATAAGCAGAAATCCTAAACAAGCGTAACTAAGAGGTCGATATTTCCTACATTTGTGTAACTAAGGGGTCGATATTGCCAACATATATGTAACTAAGAGATCGATATTTCCAACATATGTGTAACTAAGAGATCGATATTTCCAACATATGTGTAACTAAGAGATGAATATTTCCAAACGGATGTGTAACTAAGAGATCGATATTTCCTACACATGTGTAACTAAGAGATCGATATTTCCAACAGATGTGTAACTAAGAGATGAATATTTCCAACAGATGTGTAACTAAGAGATCGTTATTTCCAACAGATGTGTAACTAAGAGATCGATATTTCCAACATATGTGTAACTAAGAGATCGATATTTCCTACACATGTGTAACTAAGAGATGAATATTTCCAACAGATGTGTAACTAAGAGATAAATATTTCCAACAGATGTGTAACTAAGAGATCGATATTTCCAACATATGTGTAACTAAGAGATCGATATTTCCAACATATGTGTGACTAGGAGATCGATACTTCCTACATGTGTAACTAAGAGATCGATATTTCCAACATATGTGTAACTAAGAGATCGATATTTCCTACATATGTGTGACTAGGAGATCGATACTTCCTAGATGTGTAACTAAGAGATCGATATTTCCAACATATGTGTAACTAAGAGATCGATATTTCCAACAGATGTGTAACTAAGAGATCGATATTTCCTACATATGTGTGACTAGGAGATCGATACTTCCTACATGTGTAACTAAGAGATCGATATTTCCTCCATATGTGTAACTAAGTGATCGATACTTCCTACATGTGTAACAAAGAGATCGATACTCCCTAGATATATGTAGCATATATATCGAAACTTCATCGACATGCATAGCATTTAAAGCAGCAACAGCAACAGTACATAAAACATTTATATACAGTCGAGCCCTATAGTCTCGACTCCTGGGGACCAGATTGGTCATCTTGGAGCAGTTCATGTTGATGGCAACCGCTCTCTGTGTCGCTCCCATCTGCAGCATACCTATGGCTCTCTCCCTCTGGACAGCGGTCAGTCTTGGCATGTTCGTTGGTGTTAATCATCGCAACAAATGATAGGGAACAGATCCGTGCGTAATTTATGCCCAGAAATTGCACGATAATTTGGGAAAGAATGTTTAAAAAAATTGCTGAAAAACACCAATATATCCCAAAATCCGCAAAGCACGTGCAAAGAACGACAGAGTTTGAAAGTGGCAAATCAGTTAATGCTGGTAACGTTTCTTTTGGCCCTCAGTTTAGTTCGACTTACCCAGGTCTGGACATGTTCGACTCATGTAAAACTTCCTGTCGTTGATGTTTCACACCATGTGGTGTTCGGGGCATTTTACTGGATACAAATCCTAAATGTGGGTTTCAATCATTTTGATTTCGACGTTTAAGGGTAGGTTTTAAGTTAAAAATAAGTTAGTGTGAGTTACCGATAAACGGGAATTCGACACGTCCAGTTCGACACATGAGGGTTAAACTGATGATAAATATAGTGAAATTTTGTCTGGCCCAGACTATGAGTTCGACACAACCGGGGGATTTTCGAGATAATGGGGTTAGACTGTAGGTGGCTATGAAGCCATTTAAGCTCAACATCAATATTTGATTGGGGATGTTGACCCTCTGTGGTCAATCTCATTCAATTTAGCACAATACTGATGCACATGTAAATTGCTACCTGAGAAGCCGTGTACATCCCACCTGTAATACAGGTAGGCTAAGTTACCTGACTCACCTTAAAGACAATGTGTTTGTTGTATTTGTGGTTCCTCTACTGGTGTACATGTACATTGCTACCTGAGACGCCGTGTACAACCCCCCTGTAATACAGATAGGCCAAGTTACCTGACTCACCTTAAAGACAATGTGTTTGTTGTATCTGTGGTTCATCTCGGGGATGCAGATGGCGGTACCGTAGGCAATGCCCGCATGGTTGTCCATGGCAACGCTGACATAGCTCGCACTACCAGCCAAATATTGCTGAAACAAAACAATCATGTTCCTGTTGAGATTTAATGGAAGTTCATAGCATTGTGTTTGACAATGGTTAGTTGTCAAGAAAGTAGTACTAAATAATGTAAGCAGCGGTGTGGAAGATACTATGTGTAGATGCTTGTGAAGTGAAGGGTATCTGGAACCTTCTATAACAGCTAAACTAATCCAGCACTGTAAAGGACTTTCTGGAAGGGATTTAGACTATATAAGGTGACAAGAGCGTGCCTCTCTCATCTCACATTACACCTAGACCAGCGGTTGTGCGAAGATCTTTGTTTTCACCCTTAATATCCAGCCTAGTCCTATTTCAGAGTGAGTGAGTGAGTGAGTATGGTTTTACGCCGCTTTTAGCAATATACCAGCAATATCAAGGCGGGGGACACCAGAAATGAGCTTCACACATTGTACCTATTTTAGAAGCTTGATCACTCTTGCTGCTTGAATTTTGTACTGTCACTCTATTGTGTACTGCCGCTCTATTGTGTACTGCCGCTGTAATTAGTGTGCAATAATTTGCATTTATTTGTAAACCAGTTCATTTTATAATTCAATTGTTAATCGTATACCATTTCTTTGTTGTTTCAAACCCATATTCCCTCATGTTCTCACATAACGTAAGTGTTTCGTTTGTTGATGTTTAATTAATACTGGTAGTGAGCAGGTGTTACTTGGCGGGCGTGAGGGGCGGGGCCATGCTTACCTGTAGCGTCCGAAGTCTTGCCCCCCTCATGTCCACAAAGCCCCCCTCCAGGGCGTTGTTGGCTGGATAGTAGGCTGTGCCACGTGCGGAGTACCGGTGTCCCCCTGCACAGTCGAGGCTGCCTCCGCCTTCAAAACAAGATGGCGTCAAGTTTCACTTAGTACATTTGCACATACACACACACTTTGATCTGCATCACACAATGTATCCAGTGATGTGCCCAGGAGACGAATCGCGGCGCGTTAGACAACTGGGCCACCCGTGCCCCGTTGTAAGTAATGTGTTAGTCGCCTCTTACGACAGATGTATATTTGAAGTAGTATATACTCTAGATGCTTCTTACAAACCTCAACGGTATGATTAATTATTAGTTTATGATATTCAAGGAGACGAGGAAGCGCCAGGAGTTTGGTAGTGCACTGGCAAATTATGTGGCCTTCCTTGGGACATTGATGTTTACCTGAAGTGACGGAACCCCCCGAGCAAGTCTGAACGTTGACGTAATTTCCCGCGATCCATCCGCTCTGTAACAAGTACCAGCCAATCAGATGTATTAGATCAACACCAACTCACCAAGGGTAAATGTAACAATGTGTAGCAGGTAACATGAAGACGTGTCTCTCAGGAGACTAAGGGGTTAAGGAGGCCAAGTGGGTTAAGGGGGCTCAGGAGGCTAAGGGGGTTAAGGAGGCGAAGGGGATAAGGCAGATAAGGGGATAAGGAGGCTAAGGGGATAAGGAGGGAAAGGGGACCAGGAGAAAAAGGGCTTAAGGAGCAAAAGGGGTTAAGGAGGAAAAGGGGATAAGGAGGAAAAGGGGATAAGGAGCAAAAGGGGATAAGGAGGAAAAGGGGATAAGGAGGAAAAGGGATTACGGAGGAAAAGGGGATAAGGAGGAAAAGGGGATCAGGAGGAAAAGGGGATCAGGAGGAAAAGGGGATAAGGAGGAAAAGGGATTAAGGAGGAAAAGGGATAAGGAGGAATAGGGGATCAGGAGGAAAAGGGGATAAGGAGGAAAGATATTAAGGAGGAAAAAGGGGTAAGGCAGATAAGGGGATAAGGAGGAAAAGGGGATAAGGAGCAAAAGGGGATCAGGAGGAAAAGGGGATAAGGAGGAAAAGGGATTAAGGAGGAAAAGGGGATAAGGAGCAAAAGGGGATAAGGGGCAAAAGGGATTAAACAGGAAAAGGGGATAAGGAGCAAAAGGGGTTAAGGGGGAAAAGGGGATAAGGAGGAAAAGGGGATAAGGAGGAAAAGGGATTAAGAAGCAAAAGGGGATAAGGAGCAAAATGGATTAAGGAGGAAAAGGGGATAAGGAGCAAAAGAGGATAAGAAGAAAAGGGGTTAAGGAGGAAAAGGGGATAAGGAGCAAAAGGGATTAAGGGGGAAAAGGGGATAAGGAGCAAAAGAGGATAAGAGGAAAAAGGATTAAGGAGGAAAAGGGGATAAGGAGCAAAAGGGATTAAGGAGCAAAAGGGGATAAGGAGCAAAAGAGGATAAGAGGAAAAGGGATTAAGGAGGAAAAGGGGATAAGGAGGAAAAGGGATTAAGGAGCAAAAGGGGATAAGGAGCAAAAGAGGATAAGAGGAAAAGGGATTAAGGAGCAAAAGGGGATAAGGAGCCAAAGGGATTAAGGAGCAAAAGGGGATAAGGAGGAAAAGGGGATCAGGAGGAAAAGGGGTTAAGGAGGAAAAGGGGATCAGGAGGAAAAGGGGATCAGGAGGAAGAGGGATTAAGGAGAAAAAGGGGTTAAGGAGGAAGAGGGGATCAGGAGGAAAAGGGGATAAGGAGCAAAAGGGATTAAGGAGGAAAAGGGGATAAGGAGCAAAAGGGGTTAAGGAGGAAAAGGGGATAAGGAGGAAAAGGGGAAAGGGGTTAAGGAGGAAAAGGGGATCAGGAGGAAAAGGGGATCAGGAGGAAAAGGGAATGAGGAGGAAGAGGGATTAAGGAGGAAAAGGGGATAAGGAGGAAAAGGGGTTAAGGAGGAAAAGGGGATCAGGAGGAAAAGGGGATCAGGAGGTAAAGGGGATCAGGAGGAAAAGGGGTTAAGGATCAAAAGGGATTAAGGAGCAAAAGGGGATCAGGAGGAAAAGGGGATAAGGAGGAAAAGGGATTAAGGAGGAAAAGGGGATCAGGAGGAAAAGGGGATAAGGAGCAAAAGGGGTTAAGGAGGAAAAGGGGATAAGGAGCAAAAGGGGTTAAGGAGTTAAAGGGGATAAGGAGGAAAAGGGGATAAGGAGGAAGAGGGATTAAGGAGCAAAAGGGGATAAGGAGGAAAAGGGGATAAGGAGCAAAAGGGTTTAAGGAGCAAAAGGGGATAAGGAGCAAAAAAGGGTAAGAGGAAAAGGGATAAGGAGCAAAAGGGATTAAACAGGAAAAGGGGATAAGGAGCAAAAGGGGATAAGGAGCAAACGAGGATAAGAGGAAAAGGGGTTAAGGAGGAAAAGGGGATAAAGGGGATAAGGAGCAAACGAGGATAAGAGGAAAAGGGGATAAGGAGCAAAAGGGGATAAAGGGGATAAGGAGCAAACGAGGATAAGAGCAAAAGGAGATAAGGAGCAAAAGGGGATAAGGAGGCTAAGGGGATAAGGAGGAAAAGGGGATAAGGAGCAAAAGGGGATAAGGAGCAAAAGGGGATAAGGAGCAAACGAGGATAAGAGGAAAAGGGGTTAAGGAGGAAAAGGGGTAAGGCAGATAAGGGGATAAGGAGGCTCAGGAGGCGAAGGGGATTAAGGAGGCAAAGGGGGTTAAAGAGGATAAGGGGGGTCAGGGGGCTAAGGAGGCTAAGGGGGTTAAGTGGGTTAAAAAGAGGTTAAGGGGATTAGGGAGGCTAAGGAGGTAAAGGAGTTTAAGGGCATAAAGGGGGTTAAGGGGGTTGAGGAGTTTAAGGGCATAAAGGAGGTTAAGGGGGTTGAGGATTCGGTTTCTTTACCTGTATTGAGTGACTGAGCTTCAACGCCGATTTTAACCTTGTTTTCGTTATATCACACTGCCTGTCAGTTGGAGGTTAACTACATTGTACCTACCTGGCCGTTGAAGTCCACGTGCACCCAGCCACTTGTCTCATCACCTTTATAAGTGACGCAACTTCCGGTGTTCAGAGTACCGAGGATTGCATGACTTGTTCCCACACCTGACCGGACATGGACATTCCCAGTAGCGCATGCGCACTGAGCAGCGCTAGCTCCACGTAGGATGGTTGCCAAGACAACAACGTTGACCAACGTCAGCATCATTTTGAATCTCGATATCTGCATGAAACAGTCGCATAGATGTTCAGACTTTGTTGCATGCTTAGTTATTGTTGTTGGCCATGTTTTACTTTTATAAACTTTCTTCCAACCACAGAAAAAACAACCAGCATTTAATTTATTAAACAAGGGGCACAGAGGGTCACTTGTGTTGATGATAACAAGCTGGTGTGGTGACAGACCCCTTTCACCACACTTTATACAAAGGGTTTTTCATTGATAATCATTCACATTCCATTATAATACTTTTTTGTCCATCATCATATTTTACTGCTGTTCTAATAAAAAAATGGATTACAAAGTTATTTCTCCAAATTAAGTCTGAATAATAACATCTATATTAACATTATATGTAAGATCCAGAAATTATCAAAGTTTATGGTCCCTGTCAAAAAAATAAAAGCGGAAAAAACCGTTCCATAGCCAATAGAAATCTCTGCATAAAGCAGAGTCGATTGTAAGATTCCGACTTTATGATGAACATGTGTTTAAGACTCAATATGAAACAGTGATGACATAAATTTATTTCATAAAACAATCAAAAACATATCAGTAATATTCTAAAAAGGTTAACTTGAAATTGAAAACAACAACATCAAAGCGAAGAACAACCGATACCCACACAACATCTTGCTACGTGTACACACAGTCCACGAACTTGATCAACTAGACCAGGTGTGCTGTAGTGACGGTGGCCAGAACAACCGATACCCACACAACATCTTGCTACGTGTACACACAGTCCACGAACTTGATCAACTAGACCAGGTGTGCTGTAGTGACGGTGACCAGAACAACCGATACCCACACAACATCTTGCTACGTGTACACACAGTCCACGAACTTGATCAACTAGACCAGGTGTGCTGTAGTGACGGTGACCAGAACAACCGATACCCACACAACATCTTGCTACGTGTACACAGAGTCCACGAACTTGATCAACTAGACCAGGTGTGCTGTAGTGACGGTGGCCAGAACAACCGATACCCACACAACATCTTGCTACGTGTACACACAGTCCACGAACTTGATCAACTAGACCAGGTGTGCTGTAGTGACGGTGACCAGAACAACCGATACCCACACAACATCTTGCTACGTGTACACACAGTCCACGAACTTGATCAACTAGACCAGGTGTGGTTTTAGTGACGGTGGCCAGAACAACCGATACCCACACAACATCTTGCTACGTGTACACAGAGTCCACGAACTTGATCAACTAGACCAGGTGTGGTTTTAGTGACGGTGACCAGAACAACCGATACCCACACAACATCTTGCTACGTGTACACACAGTCCACGAAATTGATCAACTAGACCAGGTGTGCTGTAGTGACGGTGACCAGAACAACCGATACCCACACAACATCTTGCTACGTGTACACACACTCCAGGAACTTGATCAACTAGACCAGGTGTGCTGTAGTGACGGTGACCAGAACAACCGATACCCACACAACATCTTGCTACGTGTACACACAGTCCACGAACTTGATCAACTAGACCAGGTGTGCTGTAGTGACGGTGGCCAGAACAACCGATACCCACACAACATCTTGCTACGTGTACACACAGTCCACGAACTTGATCAACTAGACCAGGTGTGCTGTAGTGACGGTGACCAGAACAACCGATACCCACACAACATCTTGCTACGTGTACACACAGTCCACGAACTTGATCAACTAGACCAGGTGTGCTGTAGTGACGGTGACCAGAACAACCGATACCCACACAACATCTTGCTACGTGTACACACAGTCCACGAACTTGATCAACTAGACCAGGTGTGCTGTAGTGACGGTGGCCAGAACAACCGATACCCACACAACATCTTGCTACGTGTACACACAGTCCACGAACTTGATCAACTAGACCAGGTGTGCTGTAGTGACGGTGACCAGAACAACCGATACCCACACAACATCTTGCTACGTGTACACACAGTCCACGAACTTGATCAACTAGACCAGGTGTGGTTTTAGTGACGGTGGCCAGAACAACCGATACCCACACAACATCTTGCTACGTGTACACAGAGTCCACGAACTTGATCAACTAGACCAGGTGTGGTTTTAGTGACGGTGACCAGAACAACCGATACCCACACAACATCTTGCTACGTGTACACACAGTCCACGAAATTGATCAACTAGACCAGGTGTGCTGTAGTGACGGTGACCAGAACAACCGATACCCACACAACATCTTGCTACGTGTACACACACTCCAGGAACTTGATCAACTAGATCAGGTGTGCTGTAGTGACGGTGACCAGAACAACCGATACCCACACAACATCTTGCTACGTGTACACACAGTCCACGAACTTGATCAACTAGACCAGGTGTGCTGTAGTGACGGTGGCCAGAACAACCGATACCCACACAACATCTTGCTACGTGTACACACAGTCTACGAACTTGATCAACTAGACCAGGTGTGCTGTAGTGACGGTGACCAGAACAACCGATACCCACACAACATCTTGCTACGTGTACACACAGTCCACGAACTTGATCAACTAGACCAGGTGTGCTGTAGTGACGGTGACCAGAACAACTGATACCCACACAACATCTTGCTACGTGTACACACACTCCAGGAACTTGATCAACTAGACCAGGTGTGCTGTAGTGACGGTGACCAGAACAACCGATACCCACACAACATCCTGCTACGTGTACACAGAGTCCACGAACTTGATCAACTAGACCAGGTGTGCTGTAGTGACGGTGGCCAGAACAACCAATACCCACACAACATCTTGCTACGTGTACACACAGTCCACGAACTTGATCAACTAGACCAGGTGTGGTGTAATGACGGTGACCCTACATATGGTGGAAGGTGGCAAACAACAGACAACCAACAAGGCTGGATACACGTGGCAAACAGTAGACAAGAATGAAGGCTGGATACACGTGGCAAACAGTAGACAACCAACAAGGCTGGATACACATGACAAACAGCAGACAACCATCAAGGCTGGATACACGTGGCAAACACAAGACAACCAACAAGGCTGGATACACATGGCAAACAGCAGACAACCAACAAGGCTGGATACACATGGCAAACAGCAGACAACCAACAAGGCTGGATACACGTGGCAAACACAAGACAACCAACAAGGCTGGATACACGTGGCAAACACAAGACAACCAACAAGGCTGGATACACGTGGCAAACACAAGACAACCAACAAGGCTGGATACACATGGCAAACAGCAGACAACCAACAAGGCTGGATACACATGGCAAACACCAGACAACCAACAAGGCTGGATACACGTGGCAAACACAAGACAACCAACAAGGCTGGATACACGTGGCAAACACAAGACAACCAACAAGGCTGGATACACATGGCAAACTGTAGACAACCAACAAGGCTGGATACACATGACAAACAGCAGACAACCATCAAGGCTGGATACACATGGCAAACACAAGACAACCAACAAGGCTGGATACACGTGGCAAACACAAGATATCCAACAAGGCAGGATACACGTGGCAAACAGTAGACAAGAATGAAGGCTGGATACACATGGCAAACTGTAGACAACCAACAAGGCTGGATACACATGACAAACAGCAGACAACCATCAAGGCTGGATACACATGGCAAACACAAGACAACCAACAAGGCTGGATACACGTGGCAAACACAAGATATCCAACAAGGCAGGATACACGTGGCAAACAGTAGACAAGAATGAAGGCTGGATACACATGGCAAACAGTAGACAACCAACAAGGCTGGATACACATGACAAACAGCAGACAACCAACAAGGCTGGATACACATGACAAACAGCAGACAACCAACAAGGCTGGATACACATGACAAACAGTAGACAACCAACAAGGCTGGATACACATGGCAAACAGCAGACAACCAACAAGGCTGGATACACATGACAAACAGTAGACAACCAACAAGGCTGGATACACATGGCAAACAGCAGACAACCAACAAGGCTGGATACACATGGCAAACAGCAGACAACCAACAAGGCTGGATGCACATGACAAACAGTAGACAACCAACAAGGTTGGATACACATGGCAAACAGCAGACAACCAACAAGGCTGGATACACGTGGCAAACAGTAGACAACCAACAAGGCTGGATACACGAGGCAAACAGTAGACAACCAACAAGGCTGGATACACGTGGCAAACAGTAGACAACCAACAAGGCTGGATACACATGGCAAACAGCAGACAACCAACAAGGCTGGATACACATGGCAAACAGCAGACAACCAACAAGGCTGGATACACGTGGCAAACAGTAGACAACCAACAAGGCTGGATACACGTGGCAAACAGTAGACAACCAACAAGGCTGGATACACATGGCAAACAGCAGACAACCAACAAGGCTGGATACACGTGGCAAACAGTAGACAACCAACAAGGCTGGATACACATGGCAAACAGTAGACAACCAACAAGGCTGGATACACATGGCAAACAGTAGACAAGAATGAAGGCTGGATACACGTGGCAAACAGTAGACAACCAACAAGGCTGGATACACGTGGCAAACAGTAGACAACCAACAAGGCTGGATACACATGGCAAACAGCAGACAACCAACAAGGCTGGATACACATGGCAAACAGCAGACAACCAACAAGGCTGGATACACGTGGCAAACAGTAGACAACCAACAAGGCTGGATACACATGGCAAACAGCAGACAACCAACAAGGCTGGATACACGTGGCAAACAGTAGACAACCAACAAGGCTGGATACACATGGCAAACAGTAGACAACCAACAAGGCTGGATACACATGGCAAACAGCAGACAACCAACAAGGCTGGATACACATGGCAAACAGTAGACAACCAACAAGGCTGGATACACATGGCAAACAGTAGACAACCAACAAGGCTGGATACACATGACAAACAGCAGACAACCAACAAGGCTGGATACACGTGGCAAACACAAGACAACCAACAAGGCTGGATAC